GATTATACAGCAATCTTCTCTGTCAATAAGGTTTCTTCATGTTATATCAAAATTACCATAGTTGACAGAAATAGATTAATGAAATGTGAAATGGATAGTAAGTGAAGAGCAGTGAGTAATTTGTCTTTTATTGTTTGATTAACAATAATGTTAAACTGTATGAGAGTGCTGTCACTATGCACATTCTTTCTTGACTGTTCCTTTACTTTTGGCATTACTGACTTTGTTTACGTGACTTTTAGTTTACGTGAATAATCACTGAGACATTTTGACAGAATTGTTGTTGGATCGACTAAGTGCAATAAGCAGCAAAAAAAACTTCTGAATTCCTGCAAGTAGTCTGAGAGATGGATTTATGTGTAGACAGACAACACACAAGTACTGAGTTCTTTTTTGTTTTCTAAAGAATGATTGAATTGGCAAGACTTAATAAACTGCTATTTGTAAACTTGTGATGACGCAACAGTTGTTGCATCTAACATGTGACATTTCTATGTTCACTGTCCAAAAATATGAGCCAAGTATTTTGTCATTCTTTTAGTGAAGACATATTCTGCTAATATGTTCCCATTTTCATAGAAAGAGCGGGAGAGATGCAGTGAACTAGTCCCTTATGCTGTTGTGAGATCCATGTTTGTGAGATTTCACAGAGAATTTATTGAATGTTAATTTTGGCGCATGTATTTTAGTCATTTAGCCTTCATGCAACAGAAATGTTTGCATGAATTTTGATATCAAAGGGATAGATCAAACAAAAACTGTGTCAGTAAATGAAGAAACTTCTAATTTTGGGTGTACTATCGCTTTCAGGCTCTGCCAGACACATGTGCTGATTTCTAAAGTGGGGGTCACAAGACAATAAGAGGAGGTCGCTGGGTGATTTCCAAAAATCTCTATTAGAATTACCTAATTTTATTCATGAATCCTTATTTTAAGCGTGATTCTATTATGTCATTATGGACCAAGATCTCTAAGAAATATTTCCAGTAACTTGTTGAATCTATGCCAAGGATTAAGGCAGTTTTGATGGCAAAAGGGGGTCCAAACCAGTACTAGTAAAGTGTACATAATATTTTTTATAATATTAATAACATTATGCAAATAAAAAGCAATCAACCTTCCAATTATTATTTTTTTGCGACACCTGGGGTTATGCTAGATTAACATCACAGCAATGTTAGCAGCAGTGTTAGTTGCAGCAGATTAATTTTTGGGCACTTTTACCCCAGAAGCATGAGACTCTGAAATGGAGTACAGATCCACGTGCAGTTCGTTATGGGTCGTCGTACAGGCATATATATATATATAGGCAAAGGTCATAAGTATAGGCAAAGGTCATAAGTACATGGCAACGAAACTAAACATAAACAAGGCTAGGAACACTGACAAGGCTAAAAACAAAACATGACAACCAAGACATATGGAAAACTCAATGTAACAGTTCTTAACCGAATACTAAGACTAACCAATGTATGTGTGTTTGTGGGATGCATAAATAGTCCAGGAATTAGTCCATGATGCGACACCAGCGATGTGTGTGCCATTAGTATGAGATCAGGAACCGGTGTGTGTACGGTGCATGGTGGGAATTATAGTTTATTAATATGGCATGCTTGTAGTTCTCAAGCGATCTGCAGTCCCTAAATCGTTGGTGATAGTTACAGAGCCCCCCTCTAGGAGTGACTTCCAGAAACTCTCAAGGCAATCCAGCAGGGTGGTAGAGAGAAGGCAGAAGAGGGACGGGAAGAAGGGCCAGAAGCATGGAGCAGCGTGCAATTCGGAGCATAAAGCTGTGAATGGCCTGGAGCAGCGGAGGGCCTGGAGCATGGAGTAGCGAAGGGCCTGGAGCGTGGAGCAACAGAGGGCCTGAAGCGTGGAGCAGGGGAGGGCCTGGAGCGTGGAGCAGCAGAGGGCCTGGAGCGTGGAGCAGCGGAGGGCCTGGAGCGTGGAGCAGCGGAGGGCCTGGAGCATGGAGCTGCGGAAGGCCTGGAGTGTGTAGCTGCGGAGGGTCTGGAGCGTGGAGCTGCGGAAGGCTTGGAGCGTGGAGCTGTGGAGGGGCTGGAGTTTGGAGCTCTGAAAGGCCAAGAGAATGGAGCTGTGGAGGACCTGGAGCATGGAGCTGCAGAAGGCCTGGAGCGTGGAGCTGTGGATGGGCTGGAGTGTTGAGCTCTGAAAGACCAAGACCATGGAGCTGTGGAGGACCTGGAGCATGGAGCAGCAGAGGACCTGGATCATGGAGCTGCAAAGGACCTGGAGCATGGAGCTTTAGTTCAGCAGGCACTGATGGTTCAGATAACCTCAGTGGGTCAGGCAGTTCTGGTTCAGGAGGTACGCAATTCAGACAACCCCAGTGGATCAGGAGGTTCAGGTTTAGGAGTCATTAGCAGTTCAAACCAGTGGGTCAGGACGCTTAGGTTCAAGAGACACTGGCAGTTTAGATAACCTCAGTGGGTCAGGAGGCTTAGAATCAGTTGCATCTGGCAGTTAAGATAAACCAAGTGGGTCATGAAGTCACCTGGCCCTGGCTGCACTGGGAAATCACACAACTCTGGCGGCACTGGGAAGTCATATGACTCTGGTAGCCATTCATGGGATTCATGGGGGTGGTGGCTCTAACCATTCGTGGAACTCAGGCCGCTCTGGCCATTCGCTGGATCAGGCGTCGGCTCTGACCTTGTGGGACACAGGCAGCGGCTCTGGCCATTCGTGGAACTTAGACGGCGGCTCTGGCCATTCATGGAACTCAGGCAGTGGCTCTGGCTATTTGTGGGACATGGGCTGCAGCTCTGGCCATTCGTAGGACTCAGGCGGCGGCTTTTGCCATTCGTGGGACTTAGGCGGCGGCTCTTGCCATTCGTGGGACTTAGGCAGCTGCTCGGGCAGCTCTGGCGGCGGCGACAAGGGCTCTGTCAGCTCTGGAGGATCTGGCAGCTCTAGCAGAAACGGCTCCGCTGGTGGCAGCAGCTCTGGCAACTCTGGTGGTGGTGACCCCTCTTGTGACTCTGAAGCAGGCATTTCAAAGACAAAAACTATGACAAAATCAAGAAGATACTCACAACAATGCAATGTAATTATGCATTTTCACTACTTCCACTTCGTGATCTGGTAAGCTGGATTTGGCCATCTTGTCACCAAGCACGCTTTCATAAAAAAATGGATGCCTAAACATACAGCAGTGTGATATCCCAAAAATATAATCTTTTGGAACAAAGTTATTTCAAATGTAATTCGATTTTCTTCTTTTCACTTTACATGGAGAAGATGGTACTTTGACTTATACTGTGCTTTCCTGCACCTGAAACTATTGGAAAAATTAGCTTGTTCAATGTGGATCTATTTTGCTTTTATAATCGCATTGCAAACTTGATATCTTTGAATTTGCAGATTAGCAAATGAATCAAAATCCCTGCTAAATGTATATATTTTTTTTAAATAAACAAAAGGTATCTCTGTGATGTGCAGGGATGTAGATCAGATATTTTTTTAAACGGATGTCAGTGTCGTAGAGGCTTCATGCATTGTGGGAAAATGGCTTCATACATTAATTTTCCTTCGGCTTATTCATTAGGGGTTCGCCACAGCAGAATAAACGGCCAACTTATTCAACATGTTATACGCAACCCAACACTGGGAAACACCCATAAACTCTTGCACACACTCAAACTACAGCCAATTTAGCTAATACCGCATGTCTTTGGACTTGTGGGGGAAACCAGAGCACCAGGAGGAAACCCACGCAAATACGGATAAAACATCCAAACTCCACACAGAAATGCCAACTGACCCAGCTGGGGCTCAAACCAGCAACCTTCTTGCTGTAAGGGGATTGTGCTACCCACCCCAAAGTTCCTGTGAAGTGCTTTGAAATGTTAATTTTTTTTTATTCGATGTTTGGTGTAATATCAACTGAAAAATATAGAGAGGGTGGGACACAGAGTAGCTTCTCCAGATTTAAAAAAAACGTCAAATAGCGTTTAGTTTTATCACAGCTTTGCCATTGAGAGTGGTTGAGCTCAAGCGCATCAAATGGAAAGCATCTTAAAGGGGGCGGGACAAGTCAGATTCTAGAGAGTATTTGATTGGTCAAGATTTGATGAGGAAAATGTAGTATAAGGGTGATGTGAAAAAAATCGTTGATTGATTTAGGCAGAAGTGACAAACTGCAAGCTTTACATGTTTATATTGGTTTTACATCTTCTAAACGCTAATTTTGTCACTGTTTTGAGCACACTAGGTAGATATCCATAAAACTAACATCCTGAAACTAACATCTAAAAAAACATTTTATTTTCACAGGACCTTTAAAGATTTAGATTGATCTGTTTATGTACATTCAGATGCTTTTTTATAAAAGAAGTCACTTACATTTAGCGACAGATTTGAAGTTTATGGCACTTAGGCAGTCGATGCTTTCAGTGTTTTTATTCATGTGAGCCTGATTTCTTCATTCAATTCTGATGAAATAGCATTTAGTTTGGGCGACTAAGGAAGAACAATTGAAGTATGCATGTCCACTCAAAGAAAATGAAATAAATACTACCCGCTTATTACACACAACTGTTGCTCCATTCGCAACATTGTAACATTACAAACGTGGCAAAAGAATATTGGAATGACACTTTTTTGTTTTTGAAAACAGTTATTGTTGGTCATTAGATTATTTTTGTAAGCATGTAATTAATTCGTTATCTAGGTCTATACCATTTTTAGCAGTATATTGCAACCCTTGCATGCATTGGTGTCTAAGATGAAAAGTTGGATTGTCAACATTTTGTGTTCATTCATTCATTTTCCTTCAGCTTAGGCCTTATTTTTCATGGGTCGCCACAGCAGAATGAACCACCAACTATTCCGGCATGTTTTATGCAGAGGATGCCCTTCCAGCCAACTCATATACTCTTGCATTCACACACGCATGGACTCGTATGGCCAATTTTGTTTACCCAGTTCTCTTACTATATACTGCATGTGGGGGAAACCGGAGCACCCAGAATAAACCCACGTGAACATGCAAACTCCGCACAGAAATGTTAACTGGCCCAGCCAAGACTCAAACCAGCAACCTTCTTGCTGTGTGGAAACTGCTAATTACTGAGCCTCCATGCTCTCAGAAGTTTTATTTCTGAGTCTCAGGAGGTTGTGAATATATACGCTAATAATTCTGATATGAAATGACATTATAAACAGTGGTTGCACCAGTGGATTACATTTAGGGGATGGAACGTGGCTCAGACATTAGCTGTTTGCATGATCATACACCATAGGCAGTAACATAATGGGTGGATATATCCGACGTTTCGTATTCTGTACTAATTCTGTAGCACGGATGTACTTGATACGTTAGCGTGCTCAGCGAGCGCAGTGCGTGCTGTAGTACGCAGAAGCGCTCTGTGAGTTGAGCTGCGCTCCTGTGTGCTGGAGGGAGGGGGGATTGGGTCATTGAGTTCATTCGCACTACAGCAGCGGCGCCCTCCATAGAGATCCGCTGTCTCTCTCTCTCACTCTCACTCCAGCTGGCAAGAATATGTGTCAGATGGATGGTGAGGCGAAAAACAAGATCTTTTAAAATATGGTGCAAACGGTACGTGCCTCCGCGCTTCGCTTGACCTTTCATCAGGACAAAGGAAGTCGATGAGCCGTTTTAAGCGGAGCCGCTGCTGCTGCCATTTTCGGGTCAATCGAGGAGACTCGCCGGAGCTTGAGCTGTCGATAAGCGGAATAATACAGAGCCGAGAGATGGAGCGCCGTGAATGATTATGGCCGATAGTCACCGGAGGGCAACGGATAGAGGCAGAGGCAGAATGACATCAGGATACTCGCAGCAGTTTGTCAGCAGCAAAGCGTCAGACATTCAGGAGCTCGCGTCCAAGCGCGTGGACATCCAAAAGAAGCGCTTCTACCTGGACGTGAAGCAGAGCACCCGCGGCCGCTTCCTGAAGATCGCCGAGGTGTGGATCGGCCGTGGGAGACACGACAACATCCGCAAGAGCAAACTTACGCTCTCCATGTCCATGGCACCCGATCTGCGCTACTGCCTGGGAGACTTCATCGATTATTACGCGCACATCGGGCTCCGAGGATGCCAGGCGGCGGAACGCCGGCCGGAGGAGCAGAGCAACGGCCAGGGCCGCGCGCCGGACCCTCGCCGGAGAGCTGAGCAGGCGGCGTCACCCAACGGCTCCGGTGCGTCCGAAGAGCAGACGCACCGGGTGCTGAAGAGCGAGTTCATCGAGCGGGACAACAGGAAGTACTACCTGGACCTGAAGGAGAACCAGCGCGGACGGTTTCTGCGCATCAGGCAGACCGTCACCCGAGGACACGGGAGCATGGGCTACTACGGCCAGGGCATCGAGCAGACCATCGTGCTGCCCGCGCAAGGGCTCATCGAGTTCCGAGACGCGCTGTCTCAGCTGATCGACGACTACGGCGACGACGAGCCCGAGCGGGCCTGCGCGCGGAACCACGATGAGTCTCCAGAGCTCCCCGAGGCGGCGTCGTTCCGCGTCGACAACAAACGCTTTTACTTCGACGTGGGCTCAAACCGGTTCGGCGTGTTCCTGAAGATCAGCGAGGTCCGGCAGCCCTACAGGAACACCATCACCGTTCCTCTGAAAGCCTGGGCGCGATTCGGCGAGAACTTCATGAGGTACGAAGAGGAGATGCGACACATCTTCAGCTGCCATAAAGAGAAGAGGACAGACACGGAGGAGCAGGAGGATTGACGCAAACTAGTTTTCTGTTTTTCCTCTTGTTATTAGTTGTACCTGTAGTCTCTGCTCTGCTAGTGGACGAGCGCGATGGCACTTTCCCCGCTCGGCCCCTTCCGTTCATGTCTATTATTGCAGTTGATTTAAATCTGGTAGGCAGCATCCAAGCGGCTCTGCTGTGTGTGTGGGACTGAACAGGTGCAGTCTTTCAGTGTGTGTGTGTGCGCGTGTGATAGAGAGATCATACTTGGTCTCTCTACATGTAATAATTCCTCCCAGGCTTAAGGTATGAGGCTGCTGTGCAATTTAAAAGCTGGGAATCAAATAATCAAGATCTTATAAAGCACTTATGTCAGAGTTGCGATCGTTCAGAACGATCAAGTGCAGAGTAGGCAATTTGATGGTCCAAAGTGAAGGTTATTTCTTTTGATGCTTGAAGTTTGACTTCATCTCAATGATCAAAAGCGCTGCAACACTTTACCATTGCACAAAACTACTTTCCCCAACTGAAAATCAGAAACCAAAAAGTGCATTAATATTTATCTTATTTGGATGTTATTTACGCACTAGCCCACGGACAAATGTCGAACTAATGAGGCTGTGTGAAATATATAGAGCATCACATATGACATTGATATAACGTGAGAAGCTTTTAGAAATGGCTTTAAATAACAGAATAATGAATTTTAGCTCTATCGTGACGATTCAAATGCTGAATCACTAGTGTGCAATATATTATTTTCATCAGCCCCTGTGAGTGGGCTTAAATGAAAACTATGTTCTTAAAAGAGAACATAAAATAGCAAATGATTTTAATTTTAAAACGACTGATTTCAATTTAAACTTAGCTTGGTTTGGAGTCTGCTCTTATGTGAGATGTTGAATATAGTCGTCACATTGGGGATTTACAGATTTTGACATGACGTCATTCTGCTCAAAACAGCAGTTGTGTTTAAAACAAACAATTATACTTGTATCCCACTGCTAATAAGTAAGCTTTAGTTTATTTAAAGTGTTCGATAAAATGTGCCACATCCCCAGAATGTCCGTCTTTCCTTTTCATTAAATTTTAAAAAAACATATTGGGCATACTACGGACAGTATGCATTTTGCATACCTAATTTAATTTGAATATAACACAAGCAGTAGAACTGTACACTGTAAAAAAAAAAAACAGTTTTTTTTTCCGGCAGCTAAATTACTGAAATTTACCGTGAAATAACAGACGTTAAATTACAGAAATTAAGATGTAAGGAAATTTCTACAATTTACCATCTGTTATTCTTCAGTAAATTTCTGTAATTTAACGGCCATTATTTTACGGGAGGGAGGGGGGGTTCCGGCACCCCAGTTATTATACATAAAATTATGGATTTTTTTACAGTGTGTTCTATTCTGAAATACACAAAAAGCATATGTTAACTATATTTGCCTTTTCAAATCTTTATTTCCTGGGGTTGTAGCAATTAAAGACATGAACGTTCATGCAATTGTTTTCTCGTTAAAGCACAACTAAATTTAGAAATGTTTGCGTTGTGTTTATTTGTACTGTGACAATTGCCCAGCTTACAAGAAAAGCAATTTGCTTAGGCACTTCTGTTGATAAATTTAAAGGTTTCAGCTATCAACTGCTAACCTAATACTTCTTTTTTTTCCTCAGTTCACAAATGTATGTGTGAGTGAGTGAGAGAGAGTATTTATCCTCAATATGACTGAATTATGGGTATGTTCTATTGGTTGGTGTTAAAATGCTGATCTATAACAGACACCTCCTCCAGGAAGCACTTTATTCAAACAGCACTTTTGAGCTGCTTCACCTGCTTTACCACTGCAAAGCGGACCTTCATTTGTGCCCCATGTAAGAACGAGTGACAATCGTGCTCTCCAATGAACACAGCCTTTCAGAAGTGCGTTCATCTGTTTGCTCTTTGCACTTCTCGGTTTATTTCGATCAGATTAGGTTGCGACGTGTTATTTCAAGGGAGTCTGATTAGCATATTACTGACACCACGTATTCAGTCTGTGATTGTATTGTTCTCTCATGGTTTGTTTCCTGTGACTGTATGCACACAGTTTTCTTACTAAAAAAAAAAGGGCTGCTATTGGAGGCTGTATATACTAGTGTCTCTCGTAAAGCCTAGTATTCAGATTACATGTTTATAAAGAAGGATAGTTGATTTCTCCCCTTATTTTTAGCTTGATTTTTATCCAATCAAGGGCATCAATATATTAGTTGCCTATAAATATACACTACCAGACAAAAGTCTTGTCGTCGATTCCAGTTGTAAAAGAAACAAATAATAACTTGACTTCATCCTAATTATCACAAATACTGCAAAAGACCTATTGGAACCCACATGCATCCAAGATTCTCATAGAAATCGGTCAAGTTTGGTAAAGGAAAAAACATGGTTTGTGTTTACATTCAGTATGGGGGTGTGGGAAAGATCTGCAGAGTCGACAGCAACATCAACAGCCTGAGGTATCAGGACATTTTGCCGCCCATTACATTACAAACCACAGGAGAGGGCAAATTCTTCATCAGGATAGCGCTGCTCCCCATATTTCAGCCTCTACATCAAAGTTCCTGAATACAAAAAAAGTCAAGGTGCTCCAGGATTGGCCAGCCCAATCACCAAACATAAACATTATTGAGCATGGTAGGGGTAAGATGAAGGAGGAGGCATTGAAGATGAATCCAAAAAATCTTGATGAACTCCTGCAAGAACGCTTTCTTTGCCATTCCAGATGATTCTATACTGTACATTATTTCTGTTAAGTGACAAGACTTTTGTCTGAGCAAAGTCGGACCTTACTGTCCTAATTAAATAAGGAAAAATCAAGGCTTGATCATATTTTATTTTGGTAAATAAGCATAGTCTAGAGGCCTTTGCCTTTCATATCAGCCACTTCTGATATTAAAATAATCAACCAGAAGTCAAATTATTATTTGTTGTTCCTAGACATCAAGACTTATGTCAGGTAGTGTCAAGGCTACCCTTGGCAATTTATTCTATTTATGTTTGCTTCTCCTACGAAGCAGTAAATGTGTGAAGCTGGCGTGAAATGGATAAACCATGTGCACTTTAAAAATCTGAGTACAGGTTTGTTCCCAACAAAGAAATGAGAAGTATGCTTGTTATACGTGTATGTGCAATGCATGACCACAAGAGAGCAGTGTTCGTATGATGTTCTTTTCCTTTGTCTATAGGCGGTATACAAATGTTGCTCAAGTACACACACACACAGAGAGAGAGAGTTTAATACCCTGATAAAACGGCTGATTTCATTTCAACGAGTTCTTGAGATGTTCTGTAGTCTTAATGGAAACATCTGTTAGCTTATAAGGCCATTTCAAAATGCTATATAGTATTGCAGCTATATCAGAGTTACTCTAAACACTTGAATTCATCAAATTGGACTGTTATGCATAACATGTATCGAAGTCACCGTTTTCAACCCATAGGCCTTAAAATCATTACACCGCAGTTGTAATGATTGACTTTAGGGTTACGAGTTGTTGTTGATGTTGTTCCAACGTAGTTTGCCTTCATCTTTAAAACATAACATTTTGTACATGTGATGCACGACGACAAAAGAAATGGGGAGAACAAGTGTTTCGGATGCGACAACATGACCTCGGAAATAAAATAAAACAGAGAAATATTTTAAGCTCGGGAAATATTAGAGCAGACATGCATACGTTTCTGTAAATGTTCTTGATAGTTCTGTGGGTAATGTGACGTTCTAAAAAAAGAAAACAGGATGGTTGTTCACAAGCTTTCTTGGGTTGTTCCTTTTTTAATCTTTGTGTTGACCATCTGCAGTTGGATTTAAGATGTGTCAGTCAGTGTGTTTGTTCGATGATTTTAAAAGATGGCTCAGTTTTAAGAAATGTTTTGGTGTATCTTTAGGTAATGTAATGTAGTGCGTCCTCCTGTAGAGCCTTCAAATATTATACAAGTCGAAAAACAAGAAAGAAATGGTTCTGTCTAGTAGCACTTTCTTTAATGTGAGTACTGTATTAGTTTCTGTTTAACATGTATGGTACAGTATGAATATTCCTGATTTGCCTTGTAATGTTTTTGAAAGGTCGAAATGTGTAGGATACATATCTGAAGAAATATGACGTTTTCAATTTGACGTTTGTGCATGCCAACAGTAGGGTCCTGACTTCAAATATATCTGAACTAAAAAAAAAAATTATGGTGCTATGTGAAAACATATAAAGGTGCTGAACTGGACCCTAGCTGCATGCCTGTTGAATGACAATGGAAACAGTAGTAGAGCAAACACGAGGCGAGGCGCTGCCATCTGGAGATCGATGGCGAGATGCCCTTTCTCAACAAAAGCAGCGTAACTGTAAATCATGCACACTTCCAAAATGCAAAGTCGTGAGTCTGCGTCTCAGTCGTGTGCGGTGGCTCCCTGCACTCAAGTCTGACTTTATTCACCAGTTACTTTGAACAAGATGACTAAAGAAATGTCAGAAAAACATGTCAGACATGCAACCAGGGAGCAGCCAATCTACCAAGGCTGGTACTCAGTGAATAACGCAGCACATTACAGTTAAATCAGTTGCTGTTGACGTCTCATGGTGGATATCCTCACCAAAGTACTTGCTGAAATGTGATGCTTATTTACAGTTACCCAGCAATTGTGTGTAAAAGTTCCACAGACAATCTAATAAAGTACAATTTTTTTTTATGTTTAACGCGTGTCTTTTGATCAACTCGTGTGAGATCTTTGGCCAACAATCAATATTTTATTGACTGTTGTAGGCATATCGGCATACGCTGGCTAAGTGGGATGTTTTGGTTTCTTTTTGCCCCATTAAAGTGACTTAATTACTTGTTTTTTGTAGTCGTTTGTACAGAGCTTTTTTTGTAGTTGGTAAGCGATTAGTTGACTTGACTTTTAAAAATTGAGTAAATGCATTACCTTAAAATAACTAAAGGCATAATTCACCCTAAAATGTACTCACCCTTGACCTGAGGTTTTTGTTTATTAGTTAGGGCCAGACAGAATCTGTGGAAATTTTTTGCTATTTCTGCGGATAATTTTGTAAAAAATCCAATGGTATCTGGATGCAGCCTTTATGATCCAATCTCAGCGATGCAATGTCGGACACAATACACTCAAATGGAGTGAGTAACGTCACTGTGATGGGTAGAGTTAGGGGTGGGGTAAGGTTAGCCCATTAAAATGCATTGGATGCAGCCCAGATTTCAATGCACCAGATCTGCATCCAGACCCCTCTCAAAAAATCTGCAGATTTATGCAGAATGATTTTAGGAGTATCATAACTAAAAACTTAATATATAAAATAAATAAAAAAATAATACTTTACAATTTACAATGCAAATCCAATTATATTCACTTATTTGGTAAACAAACCAAGTCTCTCATATAATATTTCTAAAAGACAGAACATATTACTTTACAAACTACATTGTAAATAAATCCTGTGAACATTTTTTATTATATCACATTAATATTAGTGAAATAAATACAAAAACTGAATAAATATAAATTAAACACATTTACACAAGTAAATATAGACTCAATGATGGGCAATAAATCTGCGGATTTCTGCGCACAGATTCCGTGTGGGCCTAGATAAAGTATTAAAGATTGTTGGAAACCTGTAACCAGACTTGTGTATTTGTTTTTTCTATATGGATCCCAATGGTTACAGCTTTGCAATTATTCTATTCAATTCAGCTTTATTTGTATAGCGCTTTTACAATGTAGATTGTGTCAAAGCAGCTTCACATGAATGGTCATAGTAACTGGATCAGGGTAGTTCAGTTTTTAGTGTTTAAGTTCAGTTTAGCTCAGTTCAGTGTGGTTTGAAGTCATTATTGAGAGTCCAAACACTGAAGAGCAAATTCATCGATGAGTAGCTTTTCAGATCCTGAACCATGCAAGCCAGTGGCGACAGAGGAGAGGGAAAAAAACTTCACCAATATGAGAGTGAAGAAAAAAAACCTTGAGAGAACCAGACTCAGTTCGGCAAGACCCTTTTAATTTCTCCGCTGGCCAAAAGTCTTGTGCAGAACTGCAGTCTCAGCAGTGGAGGCTGGAATTATTCTTCAAAGTATCTTATTTTGTATTCACCAGACAAGTCAAACAATGTTTGGAACAAGTCAAGAGAGAGTAGATTTTTATTTTTGAGTGAATAATTTTTTTAACAGTTTCATCTTTAAGGGGTTTGCTAATTATTTTTAAAATTAAGTCAACTTGTTGCTTTTAAAGCAATGGGTTTACTAAATTTTTTTTCAAGAAGCACTGCTTTTTTTTGTAAATATTTACAAGTCGTAGTTAAGAAGTTAAATTATTCCCATTTTTTTCTCCATTGAGCCGAATTCCAGGTCTGACAGAAGCCAATAATTTTACCTTTAAAGAATGATTTTTCTGTAGTAATGCCCCATTCACTAGGGCTGTAAGCGCCAACGTTTCCCATTTACTTTGAATGGGTGACTTCAAGTATTGTTGAACTGAATTGTGGATTGCCGCTTGCTTATAGAGGTTGGGAATTTCTCAACTTTTCAAGTGCCAATGGATACGTCAGCCAATCAGATTGCTTTATGCAAATACCTTAGCTTATATACGAGACGATTGCTGGCTATTTTTATTGACTGAAGCTGCTATGATGATCGCATTAGCCCCAATTTCAGACACACCCTCCGTCAAGCATTGACACTGAAACCCCTTGTGAATCGTGTGTGCTATTGTGCAGCTATGGTACTGCAGCAAAATTCCTTGTTTAGTACTCTGAAGTAAGAGTATAGTTCCTAGCCAAATTAACCTAGAAATTAGCAACTTTTACTTTTTTTTTGGTCTTAGTACATTTTGTATAAAATAATCAAAACTGGTTGCATAGTGGATAGCGCTGTCGCCTCACTGTTAGAAGGTCGCTGGTTTGAGTCTTGGCTGGGTCAGTTGGCTTTTCTGTGTGGAGTTGCATGTTCTCACCGTGTTTGCGGGGGCCTCTGGGTGCTCCCTCAAGTGCAAAGACTTGGGCTGTAGGTGAATTGGGTAAGCTAAATTGTTCATAGTGTATGTGTCTATGAGAGAGTAAGGGTGTTTCACAGTGATGGGTTGCAGTTGGAAGGAAAATTAATGAATAAATGAATAATCAAAACTCTTTATTAAATTTTTTTTGAGCAAGATGCAAATGGTCTAATTTGATTCAATGATTTATGCTAAGCTAAGCTAAGCTAAAAATGCTCCTGCTAGACCTGGAGTTCGACTGAAAGGATTCAAAAATGGTGAAAAAAACAACAACTGATATAGGGAGTTGTAAAATTAGCGTATTTCTAGTGTTTCTTTAAGGTTCCTATCAAAGCAATTTGTCTTCTCAAGTTTTAAGTGATCTATTCAGCAACAGTATATAGGCCAAGGGCGTTCAGCTTACTGACTATAAATGTAATGCTGTTCCACATGTGTCAGGAAGAAATGTCCCTCTGACTCAGGGTCATTTGAGCTCAAATGCTGAGACATGATTTCAGATAGCTTCCCAATCTTAGCCTCTCTGGCCTTTTCTTTCAGAAATACTACTCATGTCGTTGCGCTAAGCAAAGGATTGTGCTGTTTACAGAGCTAAAGTCATAGGATGTGCAAGTTTTTAAAAACTTTAAGATTGAAATCATTCTCAAGAAGAAAAGCAAAACCCACAAAAAAGGAAGCACAGAAAATGTCAGCCACTGGCGGGTGTGAACATGGGCGTAAATGCTGAAAATAGAGGCTTCTGAGAAAGATGGTCAGTTGGCGTATAGCTCAACGCTAAAAGCATTTCCTCTTTGCATCAAATGCATCAGTATAAAACACAAAAGGCACATTTTTAATTCGAAATAGCATAATTAAATAGAAGAAGAACAACGTTCTATATTTATAAATTTGTCAAAACAAGCCTCAAAAATATGTTTCTGATTGTCATTACTGTCCTGCATAAAGCCCTGAAGTGTCCTCGCTTGACCCATTGACTTTCATATAATAAAATACAATAATTCTAGAGTTTTTAAAAGATAAAATGATCCAAAATGTTCTCGTCTTGTGTCTAAATGCGTGATATATTTTAAGGTTTATTGGTGGTCGGACTAAAGAAGAACCCATGGTAGTAGTGTTAGCAGTACTAGGTAATTTCCTGTGCCTTTGCTGCTCAGCGTTTGAGGTCAAGCGATTTCCTTTTTGGTATGTCTCACTTGATGTTCCTCAAACTGAAGTGGCAATCTTCACACATTTCCCTGCTAAGACACTTAGATCATGCCGTACACATTCAACTGCCGTTCTACATGATGGTAAGTACTCGAATTTTAGATTTTAAACCAAAAGTGATTCAACACTAATTTCATTACCACGCTGAAAACTGCGCTGTTATGTAGGCTATGCTTATGAATGATTTGATTTTACCTGCAATAAACATGTTGCATAGATATATATACACTTATTCGTTTTAAATGCCATTTTCATGATGAATATAAACAAGATTTTGTTTATTAGTACTAGTAATAATACAGCGGTAGTCAACCTAAAGCTCACATGATTGTTATTGCATAATAGCAACGTTTGCTAAGCCATTATATTAGCAATGCCATACTCAAATAGGATTCCTTTTACATGTAAAAGCTTTAATACTTGTATCAGCGTTTGCACTTTATGTATTTAACCAGTTTTCTTTTGTCAGTGTAAATTCTTTTTAAAGTTCCATTCATACAGGCAAGATTTCTAAAAAAAGATCTTTGTTGCTCTGCTGGTCTATTTTAAAATGCTCAATTTGTTAAATGAAAACTCTAGTGATGTTTTATACTCATAAAGTCACATTACAAAGAAGCAGAACTGAGTGGGTTTTACAACAGTGTTAGCAAAGTTCACTTTTATCAACACCGTAGCATAAATACAAGGCGGATAGCAGTGATGCTCATGCTAAAATGCTGTTTGGTGATATTTAGCTTTAACTATAACCAATATTTATCATAAAGACAGTTCGTAGTATATGGCAAAACTGCCCTTAAGAACTAGGTTATAACAAATGGTTTTGTGAGTAAAAAATTGCAGGGTGGTGGTAAGCGTGGATTAATGTGTGTGGGCAACGGGAACTTGCACTTAAAGGGATAGTTCACCAAGAAATAAAAATTTACTTGCCCTCAATGGTTTCAAACCTTTCTTCTGTTGAACATTAAATAAGAATTTTGAAGAAAGCTGAAAACTTATAACTATTGGCTTTAATGGAAGAAAAACAGTTATTATATAAGTTACAGGCTTCCATTTTTTTTTATAGTATCTTCTTTAGTGTTTTGTGAAAGAAACTCAAACAAGGTGAGTAAATGATGACATAATTACAACTTTGGGTGAACTATTCCATAAAGAAAATGAGAAATATACTTCTACATCTACATTTCTACAGCAGTTATGGTCTCATTTTGGGTCTTAACTAATATGTACTGACACTGAAAATAATAATTTGTTTCTACTTATTGTGTAAACTGATCCTTTTTACATTGTACTTATCATGTTTATTGAATACCTGCATGTAATTACATCTGGTTGCAACATAGGCTCATTCGGAAAACATACCCCTGTATACATTTCTGGAGATCATGAATTATGTAGCCAGAAGTAGGTATGGCTGCATTTTGCTTTTTAAAATGAACGCTACGGTGCGGTATGACATCGTTCCTTTTTGAGCTAGCAGCTGACCGCTTACCTCCGTATGGACAGCTATCCCAAATTGAGACGCAGAAAGAACTTAACTGCTACGACGGGGTTCGATTCCGGCAAAGAACGGTTCCAGAAAGCAGGTAAGACAAAAATAAAAGCCAAAAATTAAAATAAACAAGTAAATAACACGGTGAGAATGTGGTAATATATCAAAGTGTTGTAAAAATCAGCAGGCTTTTTTTTTCTGGATTGCTTTTCATAACACTGTCGGTCGGCTTTTGAGAAGTGGGTGGTTAGGGAAAATCGGTCGGTCGGTTGGTTAGACAGTCAGTTGACAACAGCTTCTGGTGGATTTATGCAAGAAGAGTGGCGCAAATGTCACTCACGAGAGAAATTTGAGATCTCAAAATGCATACACAGCGGCCTCTAGTGGATTCACGAAAACAAAACCCCCCAAAAATGTATCTCCTGAGACGTATTTGGCGCTCTCCAGAAATGTATATAGAGGTACATATTCAGAATGAGCCTGGTTTAATTTAATTCATGTACTTACACTGTTGACCATCTGTTATACCTTAACTCACCCTTAAACCCATACCACCAAACCTCAACAGCTTGCTAGTGTTGCAATACATTATGAACACAGTAAATACATTGTATTTATGCTTTAATGCAAGTACATAGTAGTTAAGACCACCTAATATAAAGTAGGATATTAGTATTATTACATGAATCCATAATATATCCTGAAGTCACAGAAATGAATAGTATGTTTCTAAAACTGACAGTTTTAAAGCAGTTTATCATAGTGCTACGGAAATATCAGCTGATCAAATAGAAAAAAAAAATCTCTCTTTTGACATGTCAGATTAAAGGAAGTATTTTTTTTCTCTTCAGGGTGTGTGTTAATTTTAGAGGGATATGGAGAGAAGACAGCATGAGGAAACAGCAGAGGGCTCCAGATCACACCAGTCAACAGTAACAGGAACCCTTGCACTAAAGAACTTCACCATACCCAGGAAGAAACGCACCTCCGGAGAAGGTTTTTCTAAAATCCAGATCAACAAAATATTACTTGTGATGACATATACCTTTCTAAAACATACTCAATCACCAGCAATCACCTCAATTATTAATTCGCTATCAATATGTTTTGTAAAATACATTTTGCATGGTAGAAGTTGATTAGAATGGTTGCTGGTCATTAGTGTTGGAACCTTTACTACACGATCTTAGGTTTGTTTGAGAACATCAGATAACTTGCTAGACCTCAAGCATTCCATGCTGGACTTGTAATGGTATTGATGGTACTTGTTTAATCCACAGTTAAATGTTGTTTTAAAAGTGCCGTTTGGCTTGTTTTTGGGCAGTACTTTTGGAATGTTGTTCAGAAGAGAGCCGCGATTACAGTCTCATTCAAACAAAACTCAAAGACTTCAAGCTGGACACAAGAAAGGATCAGGCAAATGCATGGGTTTGGAAAGAAATCTGTTTAGTGCACAATGAGGAGCTCCTTAAAAAGTTCTCTGAAAAAAGGTAAGTTCAGAAACCTGCAGCCTGCAAAATCAGGATGTCCTGTTCCTGTTGTGCTGCTTTTTGAAAAGTGTGATTGTAGACTTTCTATTTGTGGCTTAAAAGTGATAGTTCACCAAAAAAAGAAAATGTTGGAGTTTACTCACCCTCAAGTGTTTCCACTTTGGTTTCTGTTGAACACAGAAGAAGATATTTATAACAGAGAATAAATGTTGGAAATCAATAGCCATTGAATCCCATTGTATTTTTTGTTCCTACTCTGGATGCAATTGGATACAGTTACAGAAAAAAACAATTACAAAAAAAACAATACAGAAAAAACACAATTGAGGGTGAGAAAATGATGAATACATTTTCTTCTGGGTAAACTATATTTAAAGGTTCCGTGAAGTGCTTTAAAATGTGCATTTTTTTTTGTTTTAATGTTTGACAATCTCAATACACATTAAGATAGGTGGGACTTACAACGTATCTCCACCTTTTTTAAAAAAAAAACAGCCAATAGCGTTTTGTTTTTATCAAAGCTTTACCAGTGAGAGTGGTTGAGCTCAAGCGAATCGTCTTCAAAGGGGCGGGACATATCAGATATCATCCCAGTTGCACTGGACAACAGATTGACGTTATACCCCAACGTTGTGGAATGTTGCACTTTATTTTGAACAAAAAATTGGGTTGACGTCAGAACCCAACATCAGGCTGACATCAATGTCAAGATGCTGCATTTTGGATACTTTCTAATGCAACCTAAAAACATTTAAATATCAATGTCTAATGATATTACAGCTTGACGTTGTGTGGACGTTACCACTATGACATCTATCAGACATTGGATTTTGGTTGCCAAACCTGACGCTTTAAATGTCAGTATTTGACATCAATATGATGTTGGTTAAAGATGTTTACACAACTTAAAAACAATCAAATATCAATGTCTGATGATGTTACAGCTTGATGTTGTGTGGATGCTACCACTATGACGTTTGTCAGACGTTGGATTTTGTTTTCCATACCTGACGAATAAATGTCAGTATTTGACATCAATATGTCGCTGGTTTATGATGTTGGCACGACGCTGTATTTTTGTCACTTTCCAACACAACTTAAAATCAACAAAATATCAATTTTCAAATGTCATTTAACGTTGTTATTGGATGTCAAAATAACATTGTCCTCTGACACCGTCAACGTAAATCTTAAAAAATTCACGTCTTATGATGCTGTGTGTCTGCTGGGTATAGAGCATTTGATTGGTCAGAAGATTTGATGAGAAACTCAAGCATGAGGTAATGTCAAAAAAATTTATTCATTTAGGCAGAAGTGACAAACTGCAAACTTTGAGCACTTATATCTTCTAAATGCGAATTTTGTTATAAATTTTGTTGTTTTGGATCACTCAAACTTCTAGATATCTTTATAACAAACATACTGATTTTAAATTCATGGGACCTTTAAGCATGCAGCACCTTCACTGGTGCAACATCAAACATCAGTTATCCACCAAAAATGAATTATCCTCAATAAATTAATGTTGTTTTTTTCATTGCATGTCTGCCATTCACTATTCATTGACTAACTACAGGGCAGAGATGCGTGCTAAAGGAAGACATGGGAGAGAAATGGAGGAAAGATTCTGCTTTTTAGCGGCAACAGATCAAATGACGACCCAGATTTATCAGCATGGTCTGCCGGTTGGCAGCACAACACAGCATGCCTTGGGAAAGCCATCTTATGGAGTATATCTGTTCAAGCACGTTGATGTGGCATTGAAATCAGCCTGCACGAGTGCTAAAAAGCTGTTCATTTTCAAGGTTTGTTCATTATTTCCTTAGTCTATCTTAAAAGGATAGTTCTCCCAAAATTTAAAGTGTACTCACTGTTTACTAGCCCTCAAGTGGTTCCAAACCTTTTTAGATATTTTATTGAAAACTCAGTGGTTACAGGTTTTTATCATTTCGGAAAAAATTATGTCTTTTGTGTTCAACAGAAGAAAGAAACTCTAAAAGGTTTGGAACAAATAAAGGGTGACTAAATTATGACAGAATTATTTTTTTTCATTAAGCTATCCTTTTAATGGTACTATTTGCACAAGAATACAAAAAATATTAAAATTAAAAAGAAAATATAATTCTGTAATGTGCAGGAAGAGTTTAAAAAGCCTTATTTAGAGCTTCTACCTGAATAATAATAATAATAATAATAAAAAGACAATGACAAAACAATTGCATTACAACAAATGCTAAATTACAGTTAAAATTGAATAATAATACACACAAATGAAATTACACTCACATACACACAACCATAAAATAAAGTTTAATCATACATACAAAAGAATTCAAAACAAAATTACATTAAAATGATTCCTTATGCTTCTCTTAAAACTTGTTAAAGAGGAAAAATCTTTTGTTGTATGGGATAAATCGGTCTATAAATTAATACCCCTAAATCTGTGTTGCACTCTACTTGTATGAACTTTGTAAAGATGAAAACTTGAATACTGACGAGTAAAGCAATAAGGAACCTGTGAGATTACTTTGAAATACCTTCTGGATTGATCTGGCATGTTACCCTGATTTGAATAAATCTTGTACATAAAAACATATTTGAAAAATGTTAATATCATAGATGGAAAGAAGTTGGAGTTTCTGAAATAAAATAGTGGACCAAGTAAATTAATTTGATTGAGTCACAATCCTTACCAAACATTTCTGAAGAAATAAAATCTTTTGAGGAGTATATGGAAAGTACTTGCCCAAACTATATTACAATATGAAAGATATGGATAAATTATACTGTAATACAGTGTAAGAAAATATTCTGTTGTAACACGATTTGAACGATTTAGTCGCAAAACATATGGCGCAAAAGCATTAAGGGCATGCCCAAATCCACTTTTGCTATTTTAAGGATAGAAAAATACACTCTGCGCCCTGGTGCATTGTCTAACAGGGTTGTGCTTGTTCTTTTAATGAGTTATGGGTGTGTTTTGAGCATAACGTGCATCAAACCAATCAGAGTCTCATCACCCATTCCCTTTAAGAGTCAGTTGCATCATGCCATGTCTCATTTTCTATTTACATAGTGTACTTTGTAAGTGGACAAACTGAACGCTTCACTAGTGAGAAAACAGTTGAACAAACCATCTGCAGTGCGAGGATAAAGAACGAGTCTCCTCCATTCGGTCACATCTTTACTACCTCTTTTATTCTTTACTCCTTTACTTTCGTGGATAAGGAGACGTTGTTGTATGCACTTTACTGAAACATCTATTAGCCTACATATTTTGTTTATTAAGCACAAAGATTGGTTTTAAAACTATTTCTAAATTTAGTTCTAACGTCCAGCAAATTAATAATGATAACAAAGTTTGGTCAAAAAACTTTATATCCAAACACACATCATGCTCCACATAGTGACGTCTCCAAAACCCAACAGTTGGACAAATCTAAACTTGTTTTTATTAAAACAATATAAAAATGCATATAATAATACTGCTAATACTAATAATTAATAATTATAACATTATACAAATGCAAATTGCCATGAATAAACTGCTAAAGTTGAGGGATGGAGGTACTGGTTTTTATATTTATGTTGAAAATAATAATTATTGTAACATTTTAATCCTTATATTTTTTTCATAAGTAAAGATATTTGTGTATTGCTGTAAATCATGTGTGTGTTAAGCAAGGTGTACATGTTGTGAACCCACACAGGCGCATAACTAACGTACTTTGTGCTGGAATTAAAAGCCGCTTTTAGTTTGTCAATAGCGTAGTCTATTTCAGTTCCTCAAAATAGCAATGCACCAACAATGCGCCTTAACACACTTCTATTTTAGACCAGCACACACATGAGTTCACAAAGTGGCACAAATTAATTTGCTATTTAAACAGTATGGTGCAAAACATGAAAATTGCAACCCTAATTTTCATGTTTTGCACCACACGCTGGTCTGAAAATAGCAACATTTTGAGTCAAACACATCTTGCGCCTTATTGAGCCGAGTGTATGATAGGGCCCGATGCCACACCCTTTTTAATATACCTGTTAATTTATATATTTTCTTATTTTTCTGAATATCACTTGTGTGAACATGTTTGTGCTTTGGGGATTCAGGTTCTTTATGGAAAAGTGAAAAAAATTGCTCCATGTTTGGACTGGAACAAAACGCAGGATCCCACAGTTGCCTTCGACTGTCACATGTGTAAAGATGCGGCATCCCATCGAGACACTCTTCACCAGCAAATACTGGGCTCTGCTGTGAGTTGATTTAATGTTAGCATAGCCAATGATCCAATCTGTTTAATTCGAAGGTCAACAAGTGTCTCAGTAAAACGTTGTTTTTCTAGGTTTTTCTGTTTGACTTTAATGAGAAGCAGGAGCTTAATGAAAGACCCAGGCAGTGTTTGCCATATGCTGTAGTTTCATTTGTTCCTGTCAGCAGTGCCATTCAGACTCTACATACAAACCTACCAACGCTACCTATTGGCCAAGTGCATGGTAAGATAAAATAAAAGTACATCATATGCGTTCACACCTAGCAATTTCGTGTTTATACATGTCTAAAGATAAAGACAGATAAAGATAGAACGCTTGGCTAAAACAAGGCTAAACTGACATGCATCAACAAATAGACGTCTAATTGACATCTGACAATAGTCCAAAACTAAATTAGTCATCGAATACACAGATTAGACAGACTTCACATGTGTAGTCATTCATTCCTTTCAATTTGATGACTAGTTTTGGGCTATTCTTAGATGTTTATTGGATTTTAACGGACATAGCCTCATTTTAGCCAAGACGTTTATGCTTAGACTTAAATTAGACTTCTTTTAAACACAAGAAATGGACTCCATTAGTCATATAGTCAAGTTTATTTTTACAGAGCTTTTAACAATACATATAAATTCAAAGCAGCTAATTCATACAATAACATTTGTTTTGTTCTACTTCTCAAAATACACTAGACCGCTATAAGGCATGTACTGTGGCAGAAAGAAGAGGAAAAGGAAACACGGCCACCGTTACATTCAAACGTTTTGGCACACCACACCTTTATGAGATGGATTATGCACCTCAGAATCCAAGAGCAGAATCTCTATTTCAGAAGACTGATATGCAAAACACTCAGTCACTTAACCTAAATCAGCACTGGACTCCTGCCAGCGAGGACTCAGAATCTTCGAGCTGCTCAGTGCCAGTTGTGGACCACACTGCTCTCTCCGAAAACTGGCTGGGGAAAAAAGCCTTCCTGAGTAATCACAAACAAAATGCTGAAAGAAATGAAAACAAATGGAACTCGTTACCTCAAACTCCAGTGGACAAGATTTCCACTGTCGTGTATTCTTCACGCTTGGTTAGAGATCCTCGTCTATCTAGACAAGACGCAAACCAACAGACCAACTGCTTGAATGGAGAGGAAGCATACACAGACTCAGGATGTGATGATAGGAATTACAAATCAGTGCATCATAACCAAGAGAATAATTATGGATTTGCTGGAAGTAAGTGTGAAGATCCGTCAAGTATGAACCAGAATGATGCTGAAAAAGACCATCCCCTAAAATTCTTAGCAAATGATCAAAGTGCGCATGCCCCAATATTGCCTTCAATGAGGTTATTCAAATTAAAATTCCAGAAATATGCTGCCTATTTCAAAATGAATGAAGAGGAAAGACATCAATACATTTGGGCACATGAAAACATGTCGCCAGAACAAAAGCAAGAGTTGGCCGACCGGATCGATTTTTACTACATTTATTATCAAAAGTACAAGAAAGGATTACTCTTTCCAAAACTGAACAAGGCAAAGACCTCCGGTCTCTCTCAAACAGAGCCTAAAGAAAGTATTAAACAAACAATAAACAATGAATTCAAACTGAATTTACGATGCGTTGATGCCGGAAGTCTGTCAGAGAACAATGATTTGTTAATCAAGGGTAATTGTAGCTCAACACACATTCATGAAACCACACATCCAGATCATCCACAAGGGTTGTTGAAAGAAATTGGAAAGGATTGCCTGCTAAAGATGCAGGACTATGTGCCTTCAGAGAAAACCTCATTACTGGAATTGTCGAATCTCAACATCACAGATGAAAACACAAATAAACAGTTTAAGCATATTAAGCAACCAAGTCCTTTAACATGTTCCTGCAATAAAGCTAAGCTCAATAACATTGAACACGAGCTCTGCAGAAGTGTGGATCTGCAGGAGAATGAATCGAATCCAAGTGTTAACTTGGTTGAAATACCCAACTCTGAGGATGCAAACAACATCACCATCATGAATATCGCAAGCTTTATGGAAGTCTCTAGCAGCCTGACATCAGATTGTAATCTCAGTTCTGTCATGCCAGAAAAGGAAAAGCAGAATTTGACAATCTGCAACAGTGTTAAAGATATGGATTCGTTTAAATATGAGAAATGCTGTGAAATATCTCCAGAGTTTGACATGGACACAGTACAGCAGGAATTGTACAGAAGGCTTCAACTTGATCAACTATTGCCAAGCAAAAATCAAAAGCATGTTTTCTCCTCAAAGGCTTTCCTAATGAGCAGACCCACAGACACAATTTCCAAGCCAAAAAACGATAATGAAGACCACTGCGAAGCTGCAACAAACCTAAACATGAAAAGCTGTGAAGATAATCATTTCACAGTTACTCTAAAAGCCAATAAAACATCTACTGATATTAATGAAATGCTTTCTCTCTCTGAGCGATTTTCAAAAATCAAAGTCCTTCAAACTAAAATGGGTAAAGGAAGGAACAAAATGAGGACAGGGACACATATGTGCAACAACGAAGGGAACAAAAAACATGTGATCTGTAATGCAGAACTAATACAACTATTAGCACAGAAGTACAGCAAATCCAAAATCTTGAAATGCAAGAGATTACACAGATCAGACAGGAAAAAGATATCTTTCAAAAAACAGCACACAGCTCTAACACTAGGTCACTCCTTCAAGAGAAGGAAATATGTCAAGAAAACACATTTTTGGCAGGCAAAAAAGAATCGTAGCAGAACAGTACTGTGTCCCCATGCAACAGTCAATCCACATACATCTAAAACAGTCATCACAGACAACAAAGATCCAGACCCAGGCTCCAATTTAAGAATAACATCTGAAGACGATGTTGGCGAACAGAATGCTAATGTTTTTGGAAGCATACCCCAAGATCACTGTAGTCCAGTCATGTCAGTTATAAGCAAAGATCTCCCACCATCAATGGAATTCAACACTATTCCTGAGACTAAAGAGGAACCAATCAATAGTAAAATAAGATCAATAAGCAAAAATCTCCCACCATCAATGGAATTCAACACCATTCCTGAGACTAAAGAGGAACCAATAATTCTGACAGAACCATCTTTAGAAAATCTAAGTAAATGTGATGCTGATTTCACTGAGAAGGAAACAAAAGATTTCACTTCACGAGTAATGGTGGATAAAGAAGAACAAATGGCGACTAAAAGCAGCTCAAATCAAAATAAAGTATGTTCAGTCGCATGCACTACTATTGATTACACCACAGTGTGCAAGGAGGGGAACATACTCCTGAAAGAGACATCAGAGACTGGATTGAATACATTAAACAAAGAACATTTTACACTTGAAATGTCTGATAACAATATAGATGCTTCTGAGAACTTGGCTACACGTGATTGTGAGGCATCAGAAACTGAAGTCCAAACAAGCATGACTCCAGAGGACAAGGTGATGGATACTATTGGTGATACATCAAAAACAGGGCCTATACCATGCACTTTGCAGAATATAAGCATGGAAGGTGTTCTAAATAATCAGTGTATTGAAGGAGGAGAACACACTCCAGCAGATATCCCAAATGAAAACAAATCATGTCTCGACATTACCAACACATCCGATGGCAATAGTGTTTCGAGTACTGAAAAGGAGGTGCTTAAAGACACAACACTGAATTCAAAGCCGTGTAGTCCTGAAGATTTGTTATGTGCCTCAAGTAACATTGTAGATATTACTGTTGATGAATCAGCATTGAGTGGTCAGTTTGAGATTTCGGAACAGACAGAAACCAGTGTTACCAAATCAGCAAGAACACTCAAAGACAACTCCGAATCACCAAGGCCAGATCAAAACAAAAACGATGATGCAAACTCACCAGAAACCCAGCTCATTTCTAAACTTCGAGATTATTTGACCAAATTTGAGTCTACTGTCAAGAAGCAAGAATCAGCGAGTGAAGATTTGAAAGAAAGACCAGTGGTGTGGATTACACTCGACAGCACTGCACATAAGCAACAGTTGTTTGAAAAAGGCCAATATTGCATGGTGAATTTGCCCTGCCTGGTACCTAATGAGACTGACGCTGTTATAAGAGGCAATAGCGGTAATAGCACTGAAACCTCTGTTCAAACCAGAAAGCCTTCTCGAAGTGAAAATACTCAAATTGGAAGTGATGTTTGCTTACTGGTACCTATTGAATCTAAGAGAGGTAGACGGTATTCTCAATACAAACGAACCAGCAGGCAAAGATCAAGAAGGAGCTCTGTCATTAGTGTCAGTCCTGATAGTACCAGTGCTTTAGACATTGTCAAAGCTTGTAGTCCTCTTCCATTGGCCAAGGAGAATGACCAGAAGGCTGGTTCCACAGAAATCTCTATCAATAACACCCTCAGTGAACATATCCAGATGCAAAGAAAGTCAACAACAAGCCAACAAAAACTTTCAGTTGATCCGAATAGTTTATGTGAACAAAAGAGTAAAGAGAATCAATGTGTGAACGTGACAGAAAACATTGATGATGGCAATGTGAGCAGTACCTTAGCTGAAAATAAATACAGCATCAATGACATTTCAGACACTCTTAAAAGGGCCGACCATACAACCTCGTTAACCGAACTGGAATCTTTGCAATCAAAATGCCAAAATATGTTGCAGCATTTTATCTCAAGTTTTGAACGAGATCAGAAAATAGCATTCAACCAATCTTTCGTTTCAAGGCGTCTCATCTTGGAGCAATATTTGGATCATCCCCCTGCACAAATCGATCTGAAATACGAAGCAATAAATTCTTACTTGGAGTTGCAGATGATGATGGAAGCTTGGCAGTTTGTGGACAACAAAATTAACTTTCTAAGAGGTAAACCTACGTTTAGGAGTTTGCTTTGGTATGATCCTTCTCTTTACGGAGAACTCTACAAGGGGGAAGTCGGCTTTCAGCAGCAGTCATCCTTGTTTGCTTCTTTTCAAAAGATCTTGGCACAAGAGGGCAATGATAAACTGCAGGAATATTATCATGCGGTGTCCTCTTTGCATCAACAGCTGCATGCGGCACCTGATGCTTCTTACTACATGTATCTGAAGAGCAAGCGTGAGCTCCTCGAGGCAGAGGCTGCACTCAGAAATCCACGTGATATTAAGAACTTCTTTTTATCTGTACCAATTGCTGCAACAATCAACTTTGGAGACAGTTTGGAAAACCTGGAAAAGGTTCACAAAGTTATAATGACTTTTGTGGAAACACCATCAGATCAGTTGCCAGGGACATTTGATGTGGGGAAAGCGGAGCATCTGTCCATCACATGCAGATATATCCAAGAAAAAGAGCTTTTCATAAGGTCCTGCAAAGAAATGATTAGCAAAATATCGTGGTTTGGAATCGAACATCTTCTTTATGATGCCTCTAAGGTTCTTGTTTGGCAAGACATGAATCATGGTGCACCAAGTGAGGCTCTTGAGACATATAAGAATTCAAACCCACAGATCATTTTTGGGGTGACAGAGTCAGGTGTTACTCTTGTAAACAAAGTGGAGCACCTTCCTCCATCCACAGATAGACAGACTCCACAAAAGATTGAAGTTGCTAGAAAACGCAAATGTTTACAGTTATGGATGTCCTCTGAACCCAGTGTGTCAAAGGTAAGATTAAACATGAAATCCTTTCCTTTCATTTTCCTTCAGCTTAGGTCCTTTATTTATCAGGGGTCGCCACAGCGGATTGAACGATTTCAGCATATGTATTACGCAGAGGATGCCCTTCCAGTTGCATCCCAGTATTGAAACACCCATACACTCTCACATTTACACACACATACACACACACACACACACACATAGTCTATGGCCAATTTAGCTCCTCTAATTTACCTATAGTGTTTTGACTGTGGGGGAAACCGGAGCACCCGGAAAAAACCCATGCCAACACAGGGAGAAAATGCAAACTCCACACAGAAATACCAACTGGTCCAACCTGGACTCGAACCAGCGACCTTCTTGCTGTGAGGCAACAGTGCTAACCACTGAGCCACCGAACATCAAATATTCCAAATTCAAAGAAAATAACCTAAAACATAATCATTAGCCTGTAAAAGACCTTTGTTCATTTGATTAAATTTTCATTTGGTTACACTACATTAGTACCTTTCACAATCCAATACATTTTCTGTCTGTAAATTTCCCCCATTAAACATCCTCTTCCACATAGACAAATGACACATTATGGGTTGCAACCAGGGCTTATTTAGTTGTGCCGGAACAACCTGGATGCAGATCCAGAACCATTGAAATCTGATTTGGCACCTCATTTTACCGATCCCCCTGCTCACACGTACCGCTGTTTACTTTTGTCCATTCCACCCAACCCAATCCCGGGTCTTCAGTTTTATCCGCCACACCTCTCTCTCCTCTGGTAACATGCCGGATCCGTGTCGGTGCCAATAGCTTAATAGTTAGAGCAATGATACATAGACCCGAGTTTGATTTCCAGCTCAAGGTCCTTTGCCAATCCTTTCCTTCTCTCTGCTCCCCACACTTTCCTGTTTGTAATCTCCACTGTCCTGTCCATTAAAAAAATAGGAAATAAAAAACAAACATGCCAGATCTGTTGCCACGATCTGTTCCGGGACCTCGCAATTTTAAAATTAAGCACTGGTTGCAACTTTAAGGATGTTAAAACTGATAAAATGAGATGATAGAAATGTTACCTGAATTCCTTTTGGTATGGTAAAAAATCAATGTGTATCTTTCTAAATGTTATCTAAACTATTTTCCCTGTAATCTAGAGCATAAAGTCTAGCAAGGAGCTTGCTTACAAAATGGCTAAAAGGAGGTAGGAGACTTTTTGTAATTTAATTCAAGAATCAGATGTTGATATTTTGCTAAAAGGATTAGTTCACCCAAAAATGAAAATCCAGTTATTAATTACCAACCCTCATGCTGTTCCATTCCCTTGAGTCCTTTGATTGTTTTCGAAACACAAATTAAGATGTTTCAAATCAAATTGTAGGACTCTCTGATCCTCTATGAATAGCAAAAGTCATGAGATGTTCAAAGTGAAAAAAAAAGGTGAACAAAGTCGTTTTTACAGGTTTTTAAAGAACAAATTTGTTATTTGAGCTTTGATGTCAAAAAACAGTTAAAGTCAGATAGAATGAACTTTGAACGTCTCACAACCCTTGGTGTATATGAAGGGTTAGGGAGCTCTCAATTTAAAATATCTTAATTTGTGTTCCGAATATGAACAGTGGTGTCAAGGGATTAAAACAACATGAAGGTGAGTAACTATTAACAACATTTATTAACAACATTTTCATTTTTGGATGAGCTAATCAATTAAGGTCAATTCACACAGCACGACAAACAGCACCACACTTCAGATTTTGATCAGTGTTACCAATATCAGTGTCTGCCTTAGCTTGTTTTCACAAATTTAACATGCTGAATCTTTGCTTGTCAGACTGTACACTCTCAGGAATAAAGGTACGCGAGCTGTCACTGGGGTGGTACCTTTTCGAAAGATGCAAATTTGTACCTAAAAGGTCCATATTAATACCTCAAGGGTACAACGTACCTAAAAAATACAAAAGTTTTACTCTTTAAATTTTCAGGTACTAACATATACTTTTGAGGTACCAATATGGACCCTTCAAGTACAAATGTGTACCTTTTAAAAAGGTACAACCTCAGTGACAGCTCGCATACCTTTTTTCTGAGAGTGTAGAATGTCTGAGAAGTTCATGCAATGATTAACCACATTTGTTTGTTTGTGACTTGTGAATTGGCCTTCATTAAACCAGTTGTCATTTTATCTTGAAAGTAATCCTAAAATGTGTGTGTAATTCACATTCTCGAATATTCCCAGGGTGACTCATCCACCTGTAACACATTGTGACGTGAATGATAAAGGCCCCCTTTTCCAAACAACTCCAGCCACCCATCTTGAGGAGCTGAGCCCTTACTACCCACTCCCTCGCAGAATGGATCCACAGTGGGGAATGGTTGGACGTGATGCTGTAGACTGGAAGACACCTAACACAGTCCCCCCCTCGCCTTCAACGTCTCATGCTCACTCCGAAATACACTCTCGTCTTCTGTCTAAAAGACGAAGGGCTGTTTCACATTCTTCAGACAGGAGATCTTTAGCAGACATACAAAGACCTCAATGGCCTTCGGTCTCAGATTCCCAAGCAACTTTACGAGGAGATTCTTGTGCTTCACGTTCAGCATTTGAGAGCGTTAAATATCAACAAAATAGCACTGCAGCGCATTGTTCTATGCTCTCACAACAGCAAGTAAACCAGTTCAGTTTAGCCATGACACAACCTTATAATTTACCAAACTGTAATGTAAATCAAAATTTGGTATCTTCTCCTCTCTCAGTCCAGGCTTTGACTCATGTTCCTGTGCCCAACACGATTACAACAATTCAATACCCTTACTTCCTTCTGAATGGACAAACATACACCACAGGCTCCACTGGAGCCATTCACCCTGATACTAGATATTATCCTAGCGCCATTTAGGGCTATACGGTACTTTACGATTGAATTTTATGTATATCTTTTACATGAATATCCCACTGCATCAATGCAGAGATCATGCATGCACTTGGTACTTTTAAGCAAATGTACTTAAATGGGTCTTTATATGTAAAATAACACACATTTTAGGAGAAATTCTCTATGTACTCTATATAACGCTATATTTTATAGCGTAATGTGTTGTATACAAGATGTTGATGTTACCTTTTTGTAATATTTATTGAAATTTAATAATTATTTTCTACAAAACATGTGAATAAAGAAATGGTTTGATCATTTTACAGATAATTTCCAGAGTTTTGTAAAGCAGTGTTTTTCCAAACTAGCCTTCTCCTTAACTTTGCATCCAAATAAATACAGTTTGTGACCTCTTAGGCATCACTCTAGAAACATATTAAACACTTATCAGCCATTTTATTTGCTAAACCTATTGAACTGCAAAAATACTATAAAAATAACGAATGAGCCAAACAAACAGCAACAACTCTCCATTTATACATCTAGACATGGTCAAGAAGATCTGCTGAAATTAAAACTGAGTATCAGAATAGGGAAGAAAGGCGATTTAAAGGGCACCTATGATCAAAATCAACTTTTGGAAGCTGTTTGGACAGAGCTGTGTGTAGTTATAGTGTGTCCACAGTCATATTGGAGAGATATAAACCCAACAAGTCTTTCGGATGAGACGTTAAACCGAGGTCCCGACTCTCTGTGGTTGTTTAAAATCCCAGGATGTCCTTCGAAAAAGAGTAGGGGTTTAGCCCCGGCATCCTGGCCAAATCTGCCCACTGGCCTCTGTCCATCATGGCCTCCCCTTATCATAATTGGCTTCATCACTCTCCACCAATCAGCTGGTGTGTTGTTTGCAGTCAGGCGCAAAATGGCTGCCGTCACATCATCCAGGTGGATGCTGCACACTGGTGGTGGATGAGGAGATTCCCCCTATTGTGTAAAACGCTTTGCGTGCCCAGAAAAGTGCTATATAAATGTAAGGAATTTTTATTATTATTAATTATTATGATTAAGTCTCTTTTTTAATATACTGACGTTAAAATAGGATCCAGTGATTTTGAGGCCCACCACAACGGGACATAAAAGTGTGGTTTTCCCTGCCCACCGAATTTAATGAAAGGTGCCATGTCTTCATAATAACATGTATACACATGTCCACAGAACATTTTTTGCAAAAAAAAACTTGGATCGTAACATATGTTAAAACTCTCTGTAATCAACTGCACCTCAAAAATTAATTTTATAAGTTTAAATCGTTTTTAAACAGTGCATGTTTGTAATAAAGAGAGTAAAATTGCTATATAATTCTTAACTGCTATAATCACCAGAGATGGCAAAAGTACACACATCCTTTACTTAAGTAGAAGTGCAGATATTTATGATTAAAACGACTCCGGTAAAAGTAAAAGGACTACACTTTTGTACTTAAGTAAAAGTAAAGAAGTACGGCCTGAAAAACGTACAAGAGTAAAAAAGTAAAAAGGACCCGTTTCAACCACAGACCCAAAGACATGTGGTAGAGGTGAATAAAAATTCAACTGGCAGTGTATAAGTGTGTGTGTGTGAATGTAAGTGTGTATAGGTGTTTCCTTGTACTGGGTTGCAGATGGAAGGGTATCTGCTGTGTAAAACATATGCTGGAATAATTATATTATTATTTAAATAATTGCCCAGTATACTTACATTTGTTATTGAAAAATATTTGTTAAAAAACATTGAGAACAACAGTATGTTAAATCAATAGGCAAATTAAAAGCTGAAAAATAAAAACTGAAAAACAGCATAAATTCTGTATTAGGAAATATAAACTTATCAGAAATAAACCGTAATGCATAATTTTTTATAAAGTATTTGATTGTTTTAGTACTAAATGTACAAATTTTTACAAAAAAGCTCTATATTTCGCGATATTAGATTGAAAGACCTGAGAAACCTTGTGCAGTATGATCAGAAGTGGACAAAAGGCTTACGCAAAAACGGCATGCTTATGAACTGGAATGGGTATCTCTTGTCTAACTGTGATCCGAACGAACAAAATTACGTTACCATAAACAGGGCAGCATCAGCCATGTTAGGTTCCCTGTTTCCCTCTGTCGCGTTTGTGAAGTCATCCTAACCTTTCTTAAAGTAATCTTAATTAACTAGCACACGTACGTGGGCGATAGCCGTGAAAAGCCACGCAGTGCAGCACGCAGGCGCACAGCCTAAAAATAGGCTGACTGCATCAAAACTGTGTTCATATTGCGCAATGACAAGAAAAAATATATACCGCGCCACCAAACACATGAAAACGACAGTAACGACCGTAGTGGAGTAATAGTAGTGGGGTCAAGTAGTGATACCAGAAAAATCTGCTTAAGTACAGTCACAAAGTATTTGTATTTCGTTTATCTCTGATAATCACCACGAACACAGGGTGTCAGTAAACAAAGTGTGTACTGCAAACGTCATTTGTGTGTGACTCATTGTTTCAGAAAGGCTTGGATAGACTCCATCACAAATGCATCAAATAAACTTACTAGGTATTTTTACTAGTGACCTTATTTCAGCTTCCTCCATGGCTGCAGGCCCGTGCAGAGACCGTCCAAAGGGCATGTGCAGGATAAATTTTTTGAAGAGGGGGGGGTCTTGTCACGCGCGTTCTGATCAGCTGTGTTTTTCGCGCGCCTACTGAAGGGCGGGACCGAGGGTGTGTTGCGTCGCGACGGCACTTTTGATCATTTTGGAAGGGCACTTTCTATCCAAGACTAAAAAGGGCATGTGCACTGCACAGGTTGAGCCCTGTGTGTGCACGTGCCTGCATGGCTGTCTCTATCACTGACGACTGTTTATCTAATGTCGAGCATGAGAAGAAGACATGCACATCGGAGTAGTGGGCGGGGAGAAGAGGTGGTTGGAAATTTAAAGCCACAGGCTACAAATACAGCTACAATCTACTCAGACACCAAAATGGGCAGATTCTACATTATATAACAAATAATCTGATGGGTATTTTGAGGGTGAAACTTTACAGACACATTCTGTAAACACCAAAGTCTAATTCTACATCTTGTAAAATGGGTAAAATATGTGCTCTCTGAGTGACTTTGAATGTGGCATGGTTGTTGTTAAAGTGATAAAGAGGGCTTTCACTGTTTCACACTGTTTGGTGTGAATATAAGTTCATCAGATTTCAATGGTTTGGATAATGTACACTGTCTAAAGATTAAAATTAATTTAAGATTGAGATTCATTCATGCTTTTTTTTTTTTTTTTTTTTTTTTTAAATTCTGTGCTCCAGGGCTGCAATTTATGTAAACAAACTATAATTATATAATTAGAACTTTAATACTAAAATTATGTTTACATTTAGTTATTTAGCAGACGCTTTTGTTCAAAGCAACTTACAATTGTGGAGGCATTCAGCCATTCAAGTAGAGGCAATACTGATAAGAAGTGCTAACTACAAAGGATACAAAGGAATAGTTTGTGCTCAGAGAATTCAGTACTAGAATTAGGAGGGGGAAGTGTTTTAGAGAGAGAAGAGTGGTTCTACAGGTGGTTTGTCAAGCCCACTCACTGTGTGAAGCACACTTAATAAATGCACTTTTTTTAGAAAGTGGAGTTTGCATGTTCTCCCCGTGTTGGTGTGGGTTTCCTCCGGGTGCTCAAGTCCACAAACATGCGGTACAGGTAAATTGGATAGGCTAAATTGTCCATAGTGTATGTGTGTGAATGAGTGTGTATGGATGTTTTTTTCAGTGATGGGTTGCAGCTGGATGGGCAACCGCTCCATAAAACTTATGCTGGATAAGTTGTCGTGTCATTCCGCTGTGGCGACCAAGGGACTAAGCCGAAAAGAAATTGAATGAATGAATATTAAAGTAACACGTTAATATGTATAATGTATCTTTAGCAAATAATCATGTTATATTGTTACATATTATTATTATTGCTTTTATTTTTGATTATTGATTTATTGATTTATATTTGATTATTGATTTGATTGTTTTATTTATTAATTTTCGACCAAATAAATGCAGCCTTGGTGAGCTCGCCAGTTTGAAAGAAAAACTGTTAATGGTCTTCCGGGCCACAGGTGGCAGCACTTCATTACGAGCGTTCAGCGGCATGCCTTTCTGATGACGTCAGGGGCGGCGAATGCAGCGGCCATTACACAGCGCGTTTAAGAGGAAGGTCGGAAGCGCGGCGAGTCAACGAAAAAAATTACTAACGACAGGTAGTGGATCCCGTCAAACGACAGAAATCGGTTACCGCCAGCTGAAGATAAACACCACCGGCGATACGACGTTTCGTGTTTAATGAGCTGATAACCGAGTGTAAGAGCAGTGGTGTGTCGCGGCGGCCCAGCGCAGCGCGTGAGTTGCTAGTGTTACATTAAACTGGAGTTCAGTCATCGAGCGTTCATTGCTCATTTAATTACCGAAGAATCTGTTAAGAACACAACAGAACATTGCCGGTGATGGATGATAAAGCGTTTACGAAAGAATTAGACCAATGGGTCGAACAGCTGAACGAGTGCAAACAGCTGACCGAGAACCAAGTGAGAACGCTCTGCGAGAAGGTAAAGAAAATGGCACTCTTGCCCATTACTAGCTCATTTATTTCATTTAGTCAACACAAATTGATTTGAAATTCGGTTTTGAATATTATGCATGAAAGCAATGTGTAACGTACTTCATAAGAATTTCATTTTAGCTAGTTTGAACGCCATTTTCATATGAATGGGATTTGCAAACAATGAATGAGATTTTACATTCATTTTAGCATTTGTTGTAACGTTAGCTAGTTAGGAATTCGAACTATTTTGAATTACATCTGGCCAATTTACATGTGCCCACCAAAACAATTTGAGAACCCTTTTTGGGTTACAGATTTTTTGTGATGTTTTTTACAGGCTTTTTAAGTTCGAAATTTCAATATGTATTTATTTTTGTATAATCCCAGACAGTTTTATTAAAATAAAATACGTTTGTAGTTTTTAACGTTAAATAGAAGGACTGGTTGAATAGCTACCTCCAGCAAATTCACTCTATTTACTTTAAAACAGCCACTACCACTGTTGTGTTTACATGCGACACAGATGTTATTTCACTAGTAGGCGATGGCTGATATGATATCATCATGACTTCATAGATATATCCTTAAATGACAATACTGAAGACTTCCCAAATGGATTTCTAGACAGTGTTTAGATGAATAGGATAGAATTAGGGCTGGGCGATTTGGCCTAAAATCAAAATCTTAAATAATTGTACATTAATTTGATTACGATTAATGAGCAATTATTATTTTTTTGTCCTCATATTTCACGGACAAGTTCTGTACAGTAAATATGCTCACATATTACAAGTGAGACATTTCTGAATGAAAAGTTCATTACTTTCAAAGTGCATTACTTGATTTTAAAATAGTTGAAGGAAACGCACACTATTATTATTTATTGAACACCAACAGTAAACAACTGAAATTAAATCACGCATTGCCTGAAACTTTTTTTTCTTATAAAAAAGTAACTTGCACTTTTAGAAAAAATATTTTTTATTATTATCATATCAAAGTAGAAAAATAAAATAAAATCTTCTAAATAAAACAGCTCTTGTATGTCCTGTAAATAATATTTTAAACAGTGCATTTCTTACATCTTTTGTTAACAAATATTTTAATGTAAATAATCATTTTATTGTAATGGAATATATGCCGTCTCAAAGCTCTGTAGTGCAAAGTAAGACTCAAGAATAGGTCCATCGTCCTACTTAACCAGAGATCAGATGTGTCTGCTAACCCTTGACTCCACATATGGTATAGGGAAAGTACTTGAAAAAAATTGACCTGAAAAAAATGTGATCGATTATAGGTTCTGAATGTCGATTTCGATTACTTTTCAATTGATTGCCCAGCCCTAGATGCAATCTTTCTGAAGAGTAAACAAAAATCACAGGATTAGTTTGCCCAAAACTGAAAATTCTCTCATTATTTACTAACGCTTGTTCCAAACCTGTTTGACTTTTTCTTCTGTTAAAGACAGATGAAAATATTTTGACGAAAGCTGTAAACCTGTAGCTATCCACTTCCATAGCATTTGTAACTAGACATGGGCCCATTTAAGATTCTGATGGTATGATAACTAGGCATGGGATGATAGCCATTTTCAAGGTATACTGCAGTTTGGAAATCAAGGTTTTAAAACAGCCAAAAAAAATTATTTTTAGGACAACAGTATCTTCAGCAGAGAATATATCTAAAGATGCAGTTTTAAATTGCAAAAAAAATCTGTTTTTAAAACAAATGAAGACAGCAAAAGTCTGACAAACGAAGTTAATTTAGCCAAACATGTTTACTTTTCCAAAATATTTGAAATGTTTCTCAAAATAAAATCTGTTGTGTTCAAAAGGGATTTAAAAAAAAATTAAACCAGACATTTAAAATAATATATTTTAGAGCCGTAATAATAATTATAGCTTGAGACCGTGATATGTTAATCCAAGGTCATCATAACGTTAGAATTTTATACCGGCCCATTCCTAATGATAACCTTGGATAAGTGTATCATGGTATTGTGATTACTGCTCTAACTGTCCTACTGTTCTAAGTTTTTTTTTTATACGTCTGGGTTAAAGAAAAAATCTTTTCCCCCCCAATATACATAATACTTTTTATTTTAGGAATAGCAGTAGTACGTGTACTATGATGAGTGAAAAGCTTTTTCCTTTACAATAAAATTATTTACATTAAATATTGTTCACCAAAAATACAAGAAATGCACTGTTTAAAATATTATTTACAATATTTTTAAATCAAGCAGCGCACCCTTCATTCACAAATTTCCTATCTTATAATATGTGAGCATATTTACTGCATAAATCTTGTCTTTGATCTATGAGGGCAAAAAATAAATAAGAGAATCGTTCATTAATCGTAATTGAGTTAATGTTCAGTTAATCGAGATTTTGATTTTAGACCAAATCACCCAGCCCTACAAAATACCATCAGCAATTTTGACAGTAATTTATAAAAAAAACAATGCATTAAAAAAAACACACATGTAGGCACAGATAGACTAGTACACAGTCAAAAAGATATACTAAAAAAGATACATTGGTTTCAAAAACACAGATTTCTTTACAACGCACAAAAAATACATTAATAAATAATAATTATTGTTTTTAAAACCTTGGCTTTTCTAAACTGTGGTAAACCTTGAAAGCGGTTATCATTCCATGCCTATTTATAACAATGAAAATCAAGGTATCCATGTTTTGACCTACTTTAAAACATTATCTTTTGTGTTCAACAGAAGAAAGTCACAAAGGTTTAAGAACCACCTTTAAACAGTGTAAATAGTAGGTAAAAGTTGAGTACATTTTAAATCTGGGGTTAACTATCCCTTTAAAATGTTTAGTGAATAGGTGCAGTCTTGCAAATGAAATAGGGAACATAAGCCCCTAACATGTACAATGGCATTTGTAGTAGGGTTGGGCGATGTCGACCAATTTGGCATCGTACGATGTCTAATGTGAAACATTGTGATGGACGATGGCATCAACATCAAATGCGGAGGTGATTTAATTATTAATGAATAATTAATTAATTCATAACAAATTCATTATTTGTAGCCTACAGTTTCAACCACCTGACCTGCATGGTCTTTGTTTTACCCATAAACAAATCATAAATAAATAAAGATAAGTTGCACACAAATTACCACCTGTCAATCACTTTTTCTGCGGGAGGTTGGTCGGTAGAAAAGTTGCACAACCAACAGTATCGGAGGTTTTCACTAAAATAATTAAGTACAAGTGTGAAAGTGAAAGACTGAAGCAGTGTACTAATGCTGCGACACGTTACCTGATAGATTAAAAAAACAAAGAGTCGTTAGATATAGACAAGATTAATTAAATATCTTGTATAACACCTATAGTAAGACGCGATTAAGCGATACACTCTTGATAAACTGTCCGACTTGCACAGCTCACTGGAGCTCACATGAGCGCGAGTGTGTTTGGCTGTGTGTGTGTGTATGGTCACGTGATGTGCATTTTCAGCAGACGGAGGGCATCTCAAATGCTAGGTAAAACACTGTGTGGATGTGGATCATTTTCGTTCTAAAATACCATTTTAACACTTGGTGTAAACGAGGCCTTAGTGTGTATTTTTTGCGAGCTGGTTTGCGATGGGGGTGGGGCGGAGGATCTGCGATGCCAGCTCAGCATAGTGTTGTTTATTGGCCATCAGTAGGCCCACCCGAAATCTGCCCGCGCAGAATTCCACAGATATCCATTTATTTTTAGCCCATCATTAATTCTGTTTAGTTACTTGAGTAAATGTGTGGAAATCTATATTTATTCAATTTTTTTTTATTAATTTCGGTAATATTATTGACTAATGTAAAAATTTTCATCTGATTTATGTACAATGCAGTTTGTACAGTAATATTTTCTGTCTTTTACTAGATATATTATTTGACAAACTTGCTTTATTTACCAAATAAAGTGATTCTGATTGGATTTGCATTTTAAACAATAAATAAAAGTTAAAATATGTTATTTTTATTTCATATATTAAGGGTTTAGTTATGATACTCCCAAAATAATTCCACAGAAATTAGCAGATTTTTACCAAAATTCTCAGCAGAAATAGCAAAAAACGTCTGCGGATTCCATCTGGCCCTAGCCATCGGCGATGGACAATGGCATCGTCTATCGGCCCAACCCTAATTTGTAGTATTATTGAAGCTTTTATAAAATCATTGCTTCCTCATAAAATAATGAGGCCACAATCATTTAAGTGATATTTCTAAAACAAATTTTATCAGAAGACAATATTGTATGACCTAATCCTGACATCAAATGTTGCCAATCAGCAAAAATGTGCAGTCAATTTGAAATGTTAAAGTTCTTTATATCAGTTTACTCCACTTACTGAACAGTAACTTACTAAATATTACTTTGTCTATTGATTTGTTGTATGGAGCAATATCTCACACACATGGTGTGATATTGCGTCATCTAGAAACAAGTTGTTTTTAATAACTCTGTTATAACATGCCGTGCTAATGTTTTGAATGTTAGCTCTTCAGGATAAGCAGAGACACATGCCTTTATTTGTTTAGTTGGACAATGAGTCTTTATAAAACAAAATGCTTTTTGCTCCTTTGCTGTTTTTGTACTATTTTAGATTGTCAGACAGCCGCCTTTGGTCACTGCATCACAAGTGAAGGAAAAATGTAAAAATAGCCCATTAGTTCATGAGTAGTGAGTGCTCAGGCTGCCTGTATAACTATAATACCTTTCCTTAGCATGTAGTTCATCTGTACTGGCCTAAATCTGTCTGTGTTTTACTACCCACAATCATGTACCGCGTTAAAAGGGGATAAAGTTAAACTGTTCTCGCTGCTGTTCTAAATAGAATTGGGTCTCCATGGAAACACACTCATACTGTCTCCATGGTGATGGGGGTTGTTCTCTCAGCAAATATTGATTTGATTTCACAGCGATACAGAGTGCACAGACATGCACGTCCATCAGATAAGCACTCTTGTATCTTTTAATATTTCATGCTTTGACTACTTTTCTGCATGTTTAAAATCTGCATGTTGTCCTGAGAAATGTCAGCATCTTCTAGCCTTCGTAAAAATGTGCACACACGCATTAAATGCTTTTCCTATTGGATATTTTCTTCTCGCATATCGGGATTGGTATTCCAGTAAAGGCAGATTTGATTTCACTGAAACGCATTGCTATTTAAGAAGTGCATTCTTTCCTTATTCATTTTCTGCTTGAAGTTTAGGCTTGCTAGGGATGCACTGAAAAAAAAATGATTCATTGCATTTATTACATTTCTTTCTGAGGTCACTAGTTGCAAACAATTTATAGGGCTGAACTTAAATAATTAAATTTTAACCAGTAACCTTAAAACATTTGTAAATCCAATATAGATTCACTGATTGGATCATTGGTCAAGGTCAAAAATAAGTAGTCTAATGTTATCAAAAAGGTAAAACGTTAGCAATCGCAAAAATAAGTACAACTGAAAGTTTCCAACTAAATGAACCATTTAAATTACTCCATATTTATGTTGCTAAAGTTTCGCATTCAAGATAGGAGCTATATAATATTATGCTATTATACTGTTATTGGTTGATTTAATTATTTAAAAAAAATCTTGTTTCTTAAAAGGAAGGCAAGGCAAGTTTATTTATATAGCATATTTCATACACAACAGTAATTCAAAGGACTTTGCGTAAACAAGCATAAAAGAAAGAAAATAAAAACAGATTAAAACGGGTTTTAAAAGAATGAAAAAGAAAAGACATAGAGTGATCTGTTGCACATAGCACAGTGCTCAATCAGTAAAGGCACAGCTAAACAGTCTTGATTTGAAGGTGCCTAATGTTGGAGCACATCTGATCATTTCCTGAAGCTGATTTCAGCAGCGTAACTGGGAATGTAACTGGGAGCCAGTGTAAAAACCTTAGGACTGGTGTGATGTGCTCTGATTTCCTGGTTCTGGTCAGAATCCTGGCAGCAGCGTTCTGGATAAGCTGCAACAGTTTTTGGAAGCCCACTGAGGAGTCAATTACAGTAATCCACCCTGCTGATGATAAAAGCATGAACAATTCCTCACGGGAAACAAAGCATCTGATTCCCGCAATGTTTTGGAGATGGTATACTAAATTAGTTACTATTTTGACATGACTACTGAAATTCAGATATGACTCCGTAAACACCAAAATTCTTGACATTTTTTTGATTTTGACTCCTAGAGCCAAGGTACACATTCAACTTGAGAACCTCATCTCTACGGAATACCAGGCTATTAAAGACTTTAAGATCGGTTTTAAGATCTTGTAGAAAACAAATGGAAGATTTGGTGTTTCAAAACAGTCCACATTTATTTTGGGGTGAAAGGGTGCCATTATTTTCAGCTAGTGTGTGTGTGTATACAGACGGCTTGTTTTCGGTTTTGTTCTCCCCCCGCTCGTCAGTGGGAACGGGCGCGGTGGGTAGAAAACGAGGCAGGTAGGGCAGCGGGACAAAAAATGCTGAATATAAGCGGGAGCGGTCGGGTTCGGGCTGAAACCTGGCGGGAGCGGGATTCAAAATTTCTCTACATCACACCTTGGAAAAATAAAAATGGTATGATTCTGCATTGTGTGGCCTTCAGTTCTAATTCTTAGTTAAAGGTCAACAACTGAAGCCTTCACTGCTTTTCCAGTGATAAGAGGAGAAAATAATGGGGAAGATACCAGTGCATGTATTAAACTTCTTAAAGACCTGCGTCTTTGCTTTCTCCACTATAGCCCTGATGACTGTAAAGCTTTTAGTAGACCACAGTTACTGAGAGTGCTTACAGGAGCCAGTGGACATAACCACAGACTTAAAGGTCTCATGAAGTGCATTGAAATGTGCATTTTTTGCACGTTCTCCCTGCGTTCGCGTTGGTTTCCGTCTGGTGCTCCGATTTTCCCCACAGTCCAAAGACGTGGTACAGGTGAATTGGGTAGGCTAAATTGTCCGTAGTGTATGAGTGTGTGTATGAATGAGTGTGTGGATGTTTCCCAGAGATGGGTTGCGGCTGGAAGAGCATCCGCTGCGTAAAAACGTGCTTGATAAGTTTGCATTTCATTCCGCTGTGGCGACCCCGGATTAATAAAGGGACTAAGCTGACAAGAAAGTGAAATGCTGAATGAAAGTTTGTCACTGCTAGCAAAATGATTTGATTGCTTTTATCTTCTTTAATTTTGATTTCACATAGATATAAAATTAAAATACTGTGCTTTTAATTTGTATTTTATTATCTTGTTTGCATTTTGGCAGTATAAATAGCAATAGTTAATGCAAGTAAATCACTGAATGCAACAAACCTGATGTCATCAATGCATAATAAAAAAAATACATAAATTGTTAAATATTAGCCTTCTCCTATCACTTGCATCTGTAAATATAATCACAAATGAGCTTGATACTTTGCGTTGGATACGGATGAGCTGTGATGCACTCATCGTGCTTGCTTGGTCACTTAGTAAAGTAACAGAATAGTAAGTAACCTCTCTTATCAGCAAGACACACGAGAAGACAATGGCTGTATTGTTTGATCAGGTCGCAATGTGTTCGTGAAAATGGTTTAAAGATTCAGTTGTGTGGAACATGGCTCAACAATAAAGACAGATTTGCCTTTGGAAACATCCTTGTCATGTTTTCCTGTTTTTCTGCTTGATCTTAGTACTGATGCAAATAAGGTTTTTTTTACAAGATTCATCTCAACTTTTATTGTGACTCATGCACAATCCTGTTTACCCCCTCAGGCTAAAGAGATTCTTACTAAGGAGTCCAATGTACAAGAGGTGCGTTGTCCCGTTACGGTGTGCGGAGATGTGCACGGCCAGTTTCATGACCTAATGGAGCTCTTCAGAATTGGAGGGAAGTCACCTGACACCAACTATCTGTTTATGGGTGACTATGTAGACAGAGGGTATTACTCAGTGGAAACAGTAACACTTCTTGTTGCACTAAAGGTAAGTTTTCTGTGTTTGCCTTGATGGTTTTGCAAACATTTGAGACATGTAGAGAGCTATTTTGTTTATATGATTTTTTTTTTTTTTGTAGGTTCGCTATCCAGAACGCATTACGATATTGCGGGGAAACCACGAGAGCAGACAGATCACACAAGTGTATGGTTTCTATGACGAGTGCTTGAGGAAATATGGCAACGCAAATGTCTGGAAATACTTCACAGATCTTTTTGATTACCTTCCCCTCACAGCCCTGGTGGATGGCCAGGTGAGGAACACTGCCCTTCTGAGAAATGTGGATTTTAAGTCGGACCGTACAGTGTATAATTTCAGCATTTATATTGCAATGTTATCATTGGTAATAGTCACATCGCAGGATAGGCAATGTTGATTTAGTATTAGAATGATCATTTGCACGTGTTTTTGAGGCCTGTGACTGTATAAAGCAGGGGTCATCAAACTTGTTCCTGAAGGGCCGGTGTCCTGCAGATTTTAGCTCCAACCCTAATTAAACACACTTGAACTAGCTAATCTAGGTCTTACTATGTGAACACAGCGACGACATCACATTTGCCGTGCGCACTCAAGCGAACTAGCGAACACGTCAAGTATACATCAGACTTAATGGTTTTTAAAACATTTAGGCATAAGAAATTGCTAAATTTGTAAATTTAATAGCAATTTTTTATTATTACAATTCAGTTTTCTGCACCTGAGTACTGTTAAGGCTCTGAAAAGGACAAAACACTGCTTATTTAAATGCTTTTTTTCTTTATTGTATTTATAAATGTTTATTGCATATATATGTAGATGCACTCCCCCACAGAATCATCCCAATCAGTCTAAAATGATATTTTTTTTCCAACTAGAGATATTCAAGTCATTTGGTGAAATTGTATTCATATCACAATATATATCGCAGAAAAATACAAAATATCGCAATATTACATTTTTACAATATCGTGCAGTTCTAATTTTAAGAATAATGGAGAAGCGTTTATTTTTTACTTTTCCCAAAAAGCAAGCTACCATTTAATAGTCAGCCAGAGGAACTGTTATTAACTCTTTATTTCTCTATATGCCAGATCTTCTGTCTGCATGGTGGGCTCTCTCCGTCCATAGACACGCTGGATCACATTCGTGCACTGGATCGTCTGCAGGAGGTGCCGCATGAGGTCAGTAGAACTACTAATCACTTCCACATACTGGATCCTTGAAGAAACATCACTTCTTGAAAGAAGTACATCACTGTTTGCATGCTAGTAGGGTTGTAACAATATACCGGTATGACGGTTTACCACGATTTGAACGTGCACGATTATCATACCATGAACAATTGCATATCAACGGTTTTAACCCTTAAAGACCGAGACAGCCGCCCGCGGCTTAAAATAATTATTGCTCTTAAATGTTTAATAACTTTTGATCTGCTGATCCGATTCATACAATTCAAAGATTGACATAAAGAAGAGAGTCTCAGCTTTCCAGTGCTGTATCACATAACATTCGCGGACTTTCAGAGGCTCCGGAATCAGTGCGGTTACGTCATCAACATTTGACAACGCTGATTTGACAAAGAAACGCTCGTCACTGTGTCTCCGGACAAATCAGACATGATACATTGATGCATTGTCCCTCCTCCATGCCCAGATTGGTTCAAACTCGCTATATCACAACCAATAAGCATAGGTTTCGCTTTTGTTTGTGGACCAAGCTTTTTGAACAACACGGAATGAGAGATACATGAGGCATACATTTATGCGCGGCTAAATAAAACGCAAAAAAAAAAGTTTTGCGTGAAATAATTCTCATACTAAGTACTTTTGCATGCACAGCAGCACAGAAACATGACAAAACAGTGACACAGCAAAGACGAACTGCTGCTCTTGCTGTTTTCAAAAGACGCAAATGAAGATGCAGCTGTTTGTCTGCATTGCATACAACCATATCCAAATCCATATCCATAGACAACCATATCCATGCTGGCACATAAAACCTAAGGATGTTCCATATTGAATCTAGTTTCGTTATGTAACTATTTATAGTATAGTAAATATTTATATCTATTTTTTTACTGAGGATTTGCACCATGTTTATTTGGACTTTATTTGGACTTTGACACATTATTTATTATTTTCTTATTTTTATTTGTTCATTGTAAGTGGTGTTGTTTATAGTAACTAAAAATATATTATTTGGAAAAAGTCAAATTTGCTTCACTGTTCTATTATTTTGTAACATTTGTAACATACCGTATACCGCGAAACCGTCAAACCGTGGTATTGTTTTAGACGATTATCATACCGTGAAAAATTCGTACCGTTACAACCCTACATGCTAGCAGTAGAAATGTTTTAGTTTTGGTCTGTGACAGCCAGCCAAAATACAGTTCAGTTTACACCTCTCCCCTTAATACAACAACACAGAGATTAGATCAGCAGTTTAAACAAAATCCCTGGAGCTGTCGAAAGTCCAGCAGATGATGCGTTTGCCTGGACAGAGGCTACACTTTGTTCTTTTAAATATAAAATGAAAGGATTAAAAGGGGTTTTAATGCATCAATACAGTGTTGTTTAGATTTTTTTGTACTTTAGAATGTTTTCAGTTTAACATTTTTGTCTAAGCCGGTGTCAAACAATAGTTTTTAGATAAATATAAATATATATATATATATATATATATATATATATATATATATATATATATATATATATATATATATATATATATATATATTTTTTTTTTTTTTTTTTTTTTTTTTTGCACAAATTTAGAATAAGATTACCTTAAAAGACACTGTGCAGCTTCAAAAGTTTAAATCATTTTTGTAAAATGGATTTGACAAACATTTGGGGTTTTAACCCATATATAGCAGCATTGTAATGATAAAAAGCTGGTTGAATACTCTTCTGAGGAATGCAAATAGACGCCTGCAGGGCTCAACAATAAGGACTGCCCGGTGGCCCAGGGCCAGCGTGAGAGACACTTGGGACAGTAGACCGGATCATTACTGGCCCGATTGGGACAGTTCTGCCTTGTCACTAACATTTAATTTGTCTGTGACTATTTGTCAATTGCGTGCATTTTAAGTTTGTGCTTTCAAATCTTTAAATGCTACCTTCTCTGTAATGTCGTAAACAACATATTGCTTTCCGATTCGTCTTATCTGATTGATTTGACCATGCAATTTTTTTTTGTAACCTGGTAACAACCAGTACAGCGTAGAAACAGCAACATGGCGGCATCAAATTAAAAGGCTAAACGAAAATGTCTGTCTCTAACGTGTTGGAAGTAGACATTTACTTGGAAACAACACGACAAAATAAAAATGAAGTGATGTTATGCATAGTTTGCCGTCCGTTTGACAAATCAGCCACCTTTTGTTAAATAATTTCAAACTGCAATAAAATGCCTCCACATTTTCCATACTGCTCTTTTTGTTTGCATAACACTTATATTTACAATTGTTTGTTTAAGTATTGAAATTCTAGATTTACAGACTTTATTTTTGACACATTATTTAAAATATGTGGTTAAAAAACAGCTATTAACTTTCCTTTTTTTTTTTGGTGGGGCCAGTGAAAATTTTGGCAGGGCTAGTAAAAATCTAAACCACTTGCCCGATCGGACCAGTAGAAAAAATCCTTAGCGTTGAACCCTGGCCTGTCTTGTGAGTACACGTCAGCCTTGCAAGCGCAATCAATAACATCATGAAGCTCATGAAGTAAGATCATCTATCATGAACAGTGTTTGCAGATCATTTCTGATTGGCTGTGTTTGATCTGCCCACTGTAGAGAGCAAATGCACCTTACTGGATGATAGGAAATGTTGCAGAAGGGTTTACCGATCCAGCTTTAGTACAATTTCTGTATAATAATAGACATGCACAATATTCAACGGTTTTTTTATTTTTTTTTTATAAAAGAATAATAGTTTATGTAGTCATGCGCATGCTTTGACAGCTAATATGCCATTAATTTGATGCTTTGCAAAAGTTGCACCTTTACCAAATGCTTTTTGTTGCAAAATTAATTTAAATTCCTTATGCCGATTAAGAAACTAAAATAGGCCAAGGCTACTATAGTAAAAAAATCCAATCTAAAATGTAAAACTAAATAAATTGCTAAATACTCTAGACACACTGAAGTGTCAAGCCTGCAGCCCACATCAAATGTGGAAAGTTATTGCGCAACATTTAACAAACAGTTCACTATGCATTTCATGTCATTTTGCTCCCATGGATAATTGAATATTAATTAGATGTCATTACGCTGCTGTGCCGTCAGCCAATCGTTGCATTGCTGTTCATGACTTCGAGGAACAATAGATTTGTCATTCACAACACGCGCAAAGATCTCAGATCAGTTCATCCAGACATTTTAATCTGATTCACAAACTTGTTTAAAGAACCAAATTAGCCAGAGATCAGTTATCAAGATTAAAAGATCCAGGATCTGCCAAATAATCTTAAAATCATTTGAGAGGTACAAAGAACAGACCCCAGGAGTCACAGTTGAAAAAAACATGTTATTTATTGTTAAACTTTGCAGTAACTCCGCAAATTTCCCCTAAAATTGTTTAGTTTGCATGTATTTTTATAGTCTGTCACTGCGTATGCATTCCAAGCCAGTTTTAAGCATTCGGGCGCAAGAATTTCTAATGTTTGTAAATTAAAGAAAGGTTAATAAATTTGTGCTATTTTTTTATCTTTGATCATTTAAATTTATGTACCTAAATACTTTTGCACTGTTTATTTTATTTGTATCTTTACTACTGTATTTATCAATGTTTGTGATTTGGTTTATTAAATTTTATGCATATGTGCTGGCCTACAAAATCTTCCCAATCAATCTAAAAATGACAAAATCTTTCCACATAGAAACATTCAAGTCATCTAGTAAAATTTATACTTGATAATCACAGTATGTATCGCAGAAAAACAAAATACAGCAATATTGTTTCTGTTCCAATATCGTGCAGCCCTAATTCTAAACAATTAATTTGACCCTCTTATTGATTTACTATACAAATACAGAAGTCTTATAGATGATTATTCTGAATCAGTTAATTTGCTAAGCTTATTATTAACAGTTTTGTTAATTGGTATTTCCTAAATGTGTCTCGGGTCAGTCGAAGTACTGTGCACACAGTGCATAGTGGTAAAGCAAATTAATGAAGCGCCTTCATTCTCATGAGCTTTCCTCTTATCAAGATCACATTCATGTGTTTTAAGCGGAGCCCTTGTGACTGTTCAGCAGTGTACCTTGTCTCTTCTGCTTTTATTAGCTCAGATGAAGTAACCAAGATACCAGCTGTACTTGTAAATGCCAGGAGTAATTAAAGTGTGTTTAAAATATATGGCCTCTATAAAACACGTTCTAATGAAAGCGTTCACTGCTTCAGTGGGAATTAGTTGTAAGTGTGTGTGTGTGTGTGTGTGTGTGTGTGTGTGTGTGTGTGTGTGTGTTTCAGGGACCAATGTGTGATCTGCTGTGGTCAGACCCTGATGATCGCGGTGGCTGGGGAATCTCTCCACGAGGAGCCGGTTACACCTTTGGGCAGGACATTTCAGAGACCTTCAACCACGCTAATGGCCTTACACTGGTGTCCCGTGCTCATCAGCTGGTCATGGAGGTGAGGTCTACAAATGAACTCTTCATGGGCCCTAAGAGGAGTCTAGATTGGATCATATAAATAGTTATAATGTAGATTCAATAATCATGTATATATTTTTTACAGGGGTACAACTGGTGTCATGATAGGAATGTCGTCACTATCTTCAGTGCGCCAAACTACTGCTATCGCTGTGGCAACCAGGCAGCCATTATGGAACTGGATGATACTCTTAAATATTCGTTGTAAGTAACATCTCTTTCAAAGATGTATTCTCTGGAGCTGTGTTTTCAACCACATTCCTGGAGGACCACCAACACTACATGTTTTGGATTTCTCCTTTATCTGCCACACCCATTACAGGCGTTTCTGTCCTTGCTAATGAGCGAGTGATTTCAATCAGGTCTGTTTGGTTAAGGAGACATAGAAGATGTGCAGAGCTGGTGGTTCTCCAGGAATCTGGTTGAGAAACACTGCTCTAGAACAGCGTTTCTCGACCACATTCCTGGTGGACCACCAACACTGCATGTTTTGGACGGCTCTTTTGTTTGCCACACTCATTACAAGTGTTTCTGTCTCTGCTAATGAGCTGATCATCTGAATCAGGTCTGTTTGGTTTAGGAGACATGAAAAATTGTGCAAAGCTGGTGGTTCTCCAGAAACGGGTTGAGAAACTGGTCTAGGACAGTGTTTCTCAACCACATTCCTGGAGGACCACCTACACTGCATGTTTTAGATGTCTCCTTTGTCTGCCACACCCATTACAGGCGTTTCTCACTTTGCTAATGAGCTAAAATTGAGTCAGGTCTGTTTGGTTAAAGACATTTAAATTTGTGCAGAGCTGATGATCCTCCAGGAACGTAATAGAGAAACACTGATGTAGAATATAAAGGTTGATGCCAGCAATTAGGAATGCTCATTTTGGTTAATTTTACTGACCGACAACCGCCGCTCTTTAAGCGAATATTAACGGTTAACTGGTCAGGCTAATTATAAATTGACGTGTCGGTGTTTGACACATTAAATATCACATTTTAGAATACTCATTTATTTGAATGTGAACAATAGCGTACCGAACATATTAACAACAGCACACCTTCAAGCAACTGCAGCGTTTCCAACAGCATAGAAAAACAGGACAAACTGAGTAAAATAAATAGTCCTGCCCTAGATATTCTTTAATTAAATGACAAGTTTAGATTACAAATGAAAACACTGACTACATTTTTTTTTTTTTTTTTAAGAACTGGCATATGCTGTTTTTTTTTTCTTCAAAGAACAATACCAAACTCTCAAATCGATTGCTCAACGGAAAATATGCATTTAATCAAGTGAAAGCCCTGCCTCTGCTTTCATTTAATTGAAGAATAAAGAAAGATGCAACTGACTTTAGATTTTTCAACTCAGTGTTGACTTTTTTTCAACTGCTCGGATGTTAGTAAACCATTCAAAGATGCCCTTTTCAAAGCAAAAAGCGTGTTCGCTATGATATGCAGCCAAACTTGAACAATATATATAATATTTTGAAATCATTTAACTGATTACCGTGCACCGAGATATTGCATTGAACCGAATCGATGGCAAGATAATCGTAACCGAACCGTGAGACCAGTATACGTTCACAGCTCTAACAGAGACCTAATAATATTATTGTTGTGTAGGGTCCAGCCAGTTGGTCCAATGACGGTATCCAATGGTGGATGAAGGTTCGCTGCATGTTCGGTCTTTCCAGTGCACAATGTTGATTTATATTAAACTTAACTCATATCTGACTCCAATTTTAGTATGAGGTGGTTTAGAATATTAATATGTTTATCCTCGTTTTATCTGACTCCAATTATAAAACATTGAGAAGGTTATTTTGCTTCCTTTCACATTATTTTAGATTATGATTGAATATTCTCTTCGGTTCATCATTTTATGTTATTCTCGTTCATTGGGATCTCTATAACATCCTGAATCTTGTACCGGCCGAGTATACAATTTCTTAAGCACAAGCATGTCAGTCTTGGTCACTAAACAGGGGCGATTGACCGCTATCCTAAAAAGGCAGAACCCTACTTACTCAGATTAGGATATTTTTTATGCGGTCCCCATAGGTCTGCTACCTCCTAAATCAGACAGAGCTATTTAGTCATATAACGATCATTACTATAGAATTAAGCAGACCAGTCGTACTTAAACTAGTAGTAACTTTGAATAATCACTATACTATCTAAATAGTATTAAAAGTTTATCGGGTGAAGGACTATCCCCTTAGATATCCTTTTACAGCCTAAGTATACATGAATAAATGCCAATTTGTTAGTCGGAGCTCTAGAGACATCGTGTAACGTGCCGCAATGCTCCGTCTACCGTGTTCTAGTCCGCTACTAACCTGAACAGGGGCTTGTGGTGCTATGAAATTACCACAATCTACTAAAGATAATAACACGAACTCTGTTTGAATCATTCAAAACATAACAATTTATTAGTCAGGTAAATGTATTATGCCAATTCAATCAGTCAATTCATAAATGATCAATACAAAACATCAAATTATCAAAGATAAATCCAAGATGAAAAGATGCATACCTGACTTTGAAATATACATAACATGGGGCAGACCCCATGTTATGGGCTGATCTGGTTAGGCAGAATCGCCTTGAGCTTTTCTTAGCCCTTACCTTAAATAATCCGAGAATTCCCTCAAGAAAGGGGGTGTGAATGTATAACAAAAGGCATTCACACTTAGTGTCACACCCCTCACAGTGGTTCAAAAGATGCCTGAAGTTATATATTTATTGTTCTGATTATGTCTATTTCTGAGAGAATGAGACCATTGTACCAATCGCACTGAGACATTTCAAATGATATCAAACATGATAGTTAAAGTCAGTTTGGTTAATTCTAGAACATTCAAACATTGAAATGACCATATGTGTGAGTTAGGGGGATGAAGCAGACTCAGATGCAAATGCAGCAGGAACTGGTTTTTCCCGCATTCCTCCCTGGTGGGTTGTGAAGTCACCAGTCTCTGTTTTCAGCTCATGTTTTGAATTGTCAAAGATATCAGAATATTTGCAATATTTCAATTCTTACAGATAACCCCCATTTGATCCCGTGGGTCAGATATAAATGTGTCCATGGGGTCACTATGTATCCTTGTTGAGGTCGTTCAGGGGCAATTCAAGACAGTCTCTGCAGGATTTTTCAGTTGTAAGTCGTGTTCAGCAGGTAGCTAAACAGGTCCAGGCTCGTTTTCACCTCTTTTGATGAGCCTGACCCGAATGCACTGCTCATTCAGTCCATACAGGCCTTCATAGCTTCCACTGTGTCCTTCCCCTGACAAAAGTGTCCACGTCGTGTGGGCTTCTCATAGTCTGCTTCTTCTGATGAATCTGGTCACCTCCAGATATGCAGACATCGGCATGTGGGGGTCTACAGTGTGTATACACTGCCTTCTCTCGGACACCTAAACAGCAACTTGATGGCTCAGCGATTGAACAGTTATGAACTTGTGTCATTCTGCATTGGAGAAAGTCATGAGGTTAAGCATAAAATATATGATCGAAGCATAAAAGTCAGCAAGTGCGAGTCGTACAACTGGTCTCAGGTCTCTTTCAATCTGTTTAAATGGTCCAATCAAAAACAGATAAGTCTTTGTCACCACTGAGATAGGGTATAATGATAGGGAGAATATTAAATATTCTTGGTTTGAATTACTCAAGGTAAAGCTATCAAAAGGTCAGTGCAACTTATTAAAACAGTATAACAGGCAGTATGCATCATAAAACATATCATCATGACAATACATTCAAATAAATGACATTCATTTTCAAAATGAAAAAACGTGAAGATATTTGTCATACATGATAGTAATCACATTATTTAACCATAATTATGAAGGTATATCTATAATAATGTGTGTGTTTGTGTGTGTATGTTGTGTGGTGTGTGTGTGTGTGTGTGTGTGTGTGTTAGTGTGTGTGTGTGTTTATGTGTGTGTGTGTGTGTTTGTGTGTGTTTGTGTGTGTTTGTGTGTGTGTGTGTGTGTGTGTGTGTGTGTGTGTGTGTGTGTGTGTTTGTGTGTGTTTGTGTGTGTTTGTGTGTGTTTGTGTGTGTGTGTGTGTGTGTGTGTGTGTGTGTGTGTGTGTGTGTGTGTGTGTTTATGTGTGTGTGGGGGGGCTTGAACACAATTGATGGTATTTGTCAAATTTAAATGTCCTAGTGATTATTAGAAGTGTCCTCACTTCGGTTTAATTTTAATCACTTTAGCACTTATACCTGTTATTGGTGATAGATTGGAAAACCAGGGGCCCTCTGGTTTGTCAACCATCCCCACAACAGTCAGTGTATCTATGGCAAGTTCGCCTCTATTGAAGTTTTATACCATCAATTTGTTGTCAAAGCCATGCAAATGTGTAATTTCTTTTCAGCTGGCAGAGGGTGTCAGAGGGTGTTTGTTGTCTCGTCTGTCATCAGATTAATTATTCTGTTCTATGTGTGTGAGGCTAATGTGTTTTGTTTGTATAAACATGGACAAAAGGTCTTAATTAATGAGATTTGACTCCTGGGTCTTTGAAGACTAAGGTGTTATCTATGTGCCTGGGTTTACCTGTGGCTATGTGTCAGTGTAATGCTCCGAACAATGGTAATCAACTTTTATAATTGTGTTGCAAAATTTTAGTCCTGTCTTAGCAGGGAGCCAGCATAAAAATGTGAACATGAGGTGTGTTCCGGCTCAAATTGATTCCATATAATATCTTTTACGGAGCATGTTAAGGTGCAATGTTCAAAGCCGGATCCTGTAAAAATGCATTTTCATGGTTAATTTAATTATCACACTCTATACTCCTATTTGTAGTTTAAACTGCAGCTATACAGGGGATAGCAGAGTTTTCTACTTTTGGAGATCAAAGAAACAAATATCATGAATTTCAACATAGTTAATTCCATTTTCATACAGGACATGTGGTTTAACATGTGTATAGTATAAAGCAAATTTAAAAATGCCACTAGGATTCGTAATAATAGAGTCTGTTGCAAATGGTCTTTGCAGGAACCATGGTTTTAGTCCCATTGCTATTAAGCAATTTGGGAAGATTTTAACTATGAGATCTTTTTGTGTCTCTGTTTCATTTAACATGTAAATTTACATCTTTGTTGAAGATGTTTTGTGAAATCACATAGCCTCCTAGAATGCTGAATCCATTGATAAGATCAGCTGTGGATAATTGTTATTCTGATGACTGATCAAAGACTTTTTCAGAAGACTCACTGCAGGAGGTGAGGGATTTGCCTCACAGGGGTTCTTGCTTTGAGATGCAAGATGGGAGGCTTTTGGCCTCTCAGGTTATGGCTTAACCTTTTGTCGCCCTCATTTGTATTTGTTTGATGTGGACCGGATCTTGAGTGTTCTTTGTTATTCGTCCGCCTAAGGTGAGAACAAAAGCAGAGAAGAACCATAGTTATTTTAGAATTTTCATCAGTTTCAAATTCAATCATGTGGAATTAATGTTAATGCATCATTTTGCAATATTAATTCTGGAAGCCACATGATGTTGCTGGTCAGATCTGTGAGTGTGTAACACCTGTTTACACAGTCTGCTGTATTCTGAGCATTATCTCCCAGTTCCGCTGGGGACATTTTTCTGAATCAATCAATGATTTTTCATTAATTTCAGTTCACAATCTAATGGGCCGATACCCATAGTTCATTTTTTTGCTCTCATTAACAGTCAGATCTGTTGGCAGAAATCATTTCACCCTTTTGGTGTTCTCTGCTTAACGGTTGTCATTTTATGGTGTGACTCACAGATTCTTAAATCTTTTGACCCATAAAAACTTTGGTAACTCTGAATGTTATCATATCCATCCCCCTTTCATTATGTTTTTTCTGGTGAGCTTAACTCTCTGATCAAATTTTAATTGTAGGTGGTGTTTTTTTCAGCGAGGATTATATTGGTTTACAATCAGTTATTCTATAGTAGTTCTGTCAGTGTTTTCATTAAGCATAAAGAAAGCAAACCTCCTCAAAGTGAATGTTTCATCTCTAGTCTTTAGTGCCATGATTGGCGATTATAATATAATGTACATTATTGTTTATTCCTAATGTAATTATATTATATTAAAATAGTATGTATTAAATATAATTATATCTGGTCTCTGGAGAGTGTTTTAGAACACAGTGCATTGTTTTATGCAATTACAGCAAAAACATTCTGAGCATCTTATTATCACTGAGGTGAGACTTCTTTGCTCTCTGTCAGGCCATTTGAATATGAAAAGGTTTGAGCCATCAGGAGGTCTAAGGGCTGATTTAAAGTTAAAATCTTAGAATTTCTTTTATATTTAGTCTGTTTTGAGATTAAATTAAAGTATAGTGGATATTTTACACTGTAAACCCTAATGCTGTAACTAAATAATTGAATTGAGCTCTATTAACTTAAATCCTTAAAATTCGTTTATCTTAATTAACCTTAATGAGTATTCAGAACTTTTTCTTATTTTTGAGTTTGAAAAAATGTAATCTTTAAAAAATGCTATCAAAATGTATGAGCTGGGTGACTAAGTATTTAAAGTTTGGAAAAATTAAAATAATTAAGTTAATTGCAATTAAAATGTATAAGTTGAGTAACTTGGGTATTTTAAGTTAGTTGAACGTTTCTGTTCACTTAAAATAGATAATTTCATAACTTAAAAAATTTGACATAACTGATTGCCTCAAATTTTTATTTATTTTTTTTTTTTGTCAACTTATTCGGGATTACAGTGTAGTTGATCAGCATCATATTTGAATTTATCACCATTAAATTTAAATGGCAAATTTCTGATTTGTAAAGGCAGAGTTTTCATTAAAGCCTATTTGTCTTTTTTGCAATCAAATCATTCTGTTCTGCTCACCTTTATTTTTCACATGCAAATGCCTTTAAACAGACTGTTGTTATTAATCCAATTTAAAAGTTTACAATTGTTTTTAAATCTTAAACCATTTTTTTCCTGTTTTCCTTTTTTCCATTTTCTCTTTTTTATAAAACAGTAGATTTAAAACAATGGATAGTTTTTGATTTAAACTTTTAGGATCTAATTTATAACTCTCCACTGAGTCCCAGAATATAATTTGGATGATGTTATTCCAATTTTAAGCTTCAACTCTTGCTGCCTAGCAGACAAAGAGATTTCAGAGCAAGGGATGGCATTTATCTATACTGCTGCTATCATGTCCCTGATAATCAAAGTGGTTTTGTCTAATTCTCAACCCCACCGGATAACGCATTCCGGTCTAACATTTTTGAGCATTTCCGACTCATTCTATCAATGTGTTTATATAGGGTGCGTCCAGCTTTCCCTCAACATTTCTAATAGGCAAAGAAGAATTGACTTACCACAGCAGCTGAAGATAGAATAGAAGATCCAAACCTCTTGGTTGATATAAATCCATTTTGTGCTGGAAAGACGTAACTCGCCTGAGTTGGGAGATCACGGAGATGGGTCACCATTTTGTAGGGTCCAGCCAGTTGGTCCAATGACGGTATCCAATGGTGGATGAAGGTTCGCTGCATGTTCGGTCTTTCCAGTGCACAATGTTGATTTATATTAAACTTAACTCATATCTGACTCCAATTTTAGTATGAGGTGGTTTAGAATATTAATATGTTTATCCTCGTTTTATCTGACTCCAATTATAAAACATTGAGAAGGTTATTTTGCTTCCTTTCACATTATTTTAGATTATGATTGAATATTCTCTTCGGTTCATCATTTTATGTTATTCTCGTTCATTGGGATCTCTATAACATCCTGAATCTTGTACCGGCCGAGTATACAATTTCTTAAGCACAAGCATGTCAGTCTTGGTCACTAAACAGGGGCGATTGACCGCTATCCTAAAAAGGCAGAACCCTACTTACTCAGATTAGGATATTTTTTATGCGGTCCCCATAGGTCTGCTACCTCCTAAATCAGACAGAGCTATTTAGTCATATAACGATCATTACTATAGAATTAAGCAGACCAGTCGTACTTAAACTAGTAGTAACTTTGAATAATCACTATACTATCTAAATAGTATTAAAAGTTTATCGGGTGAAGGACTATCCCCTTAGATATCCTTTTACAGCCTAAGTATACATGAATAAATGCCAATTTGTTAGTCGGAGCTCTAGAGACATCGTGTAACGTGCCGCAATGCTCCGTCTACCGTGTTCTAGTCCGCTACTAACCTGAACAGGGGCTTGTGGTGCTATGAAATTACCACAATCTACTAAAGATAATAACACGAACTCTGTTTGAATCATTCAAAACATAACAATTTATTAGTCAGGTAAATGTATTATGCCAATTCAATCAGTCAATTCATAAATGATCAATACAAAACATCAAATTATCAAAGATAAATCCAAGATGAAAAGATGCATACCTGACTTTGAAATATACATAACATGGGGCAGACCCCATGTTATGGGCTGATCTGGTTAGGCAGAATCGCCTTGAGCTTTTCTTAGCCCTTACCTTAAATAATCCGAGAATTCCCTCAAGAAAGGGGGTGTGAATGTATAACAAAAGGCATTCACACTTAGTGTCACACCCCTCACAGTGGTTCAAAAGATGCCTGAAGTTATATATTTATTGTTCTGATTATGTCTATTTCTGAGAGAATGAGACCATTGTACCAATCGCACTGAGACATTTCAAATGATATCAAACATGATAGTTAAAGTCAGTTTGGTTAATTCTAGAACATTCAAACATTGAAATGACCATATGTGTGAGTTAGGGGGATGAAGCAGACTCAGATGCAAATGCAGCAGGAACTGGTTTTTCCCGCATTCCTCCCTGGTGGGTTGTGAAGTCACCAGTCTCTGTTTTCAGCTCATGTTTTGAATTGTCAAAGATATCAGAATATTTGCAATATTTCAATTCTTACAGTTGTTTTACCATAAGCTTGAGAATTAACAATATTAACAGCATACTCATATTAGCCTATTTTTCTACAGAATCGTGAGAAAATCGCGATCTTGATTTTAAGCAAAATTATGATTCTCATTTTAGCCTTGTGATGAGAAACTATAGTGTGAGGCGATGTGGATAAAACCGTTGACCCATTTGGGTGGAAGTCACAAACTACAAGCTTTGTGTTTATATCAGTTTTATATCTTCGAAACGTGAATGTTTTCAGTTTTGGGGACATTGGTATTACTCATTTTCCTAAAAATGAGTAATACCAACAGTACATTTATGGGACTTTTTAAACCTAAAATATTCTGCTTCTAAATTCTGATTCCTGCAAGTGCAAACAGCCTCAGTTCTGCTCTTTCTGCTTTAATTATAGTCAAGTGAAACTGTCAACAAACTGGAAAGCATTTACTAAACACTCCCTCATCTGCAATTGGTTGATCAGAACTGCCCCAAACTTAAATGATTGGTCGAAGTAGTGCTGCTGTTTTGGAATGTTCAAGTAAACAGAGCAGTGTTTTCACAGCACCGTTGTTAAACCCTTCAGGCAACTCAACCTACAGGCGTCTCTGCAAATTCTAAACCAGTACAGGAGAGAAAAGAAAGACTGTTGTAGTGATAAGACTGGAACACTCCATTACTGTGGGGTAAAATAATTGCTTTATGCCAAAAAGTTCTGAAATAGATTCATTTTTAACCATTCTAACAATATCTTAGTGGTTTTTCATTGAGGTTTTGGAACTGAATGTGAGCTTAAAACAGACTTTACATTTATGGTGCATTTCTTTTCCCCTACAGCCTTCAATTTGATCCTGCTCCTCGACGTGGAGAGCCTCACGTCACCCGCCGCACCCCTGACTACTTCCTATAAGCGAGCACTGGCCTGCCGTGAGAGACCTCTGATGACAAATCCAAACATGTATACATCTATTCATCTATTGTGTATATAAGACGGGGGATATGTTCTGATACAACAACACTAATACGGACCAAAATGTGCCATACAAGCATCTAATGCCCAAATCAGATCGCTCTGTCTCAGTACCGCTACAAAGTGTCTCGTTTTAGCCTCTAGTGCAAATTGCCTGCTGTATACAATGAATAGAGATGTTCCCTTCGTTCTTGAATTGTAAATTAAAAAAAGAAACAAAAAAACAAAACAAAAAAAAAAAAATGTTAAGTGAATAGCTTTCTCTCACAGTATCACAGGAATAAAACGTCCTTTAAGTTGGCAATGCCAGGCATGTGAAAAAAAAAAAAACGGTAACATTTTTATACAAGTGCACAAGCTGACATCCTTTCCTGTATCTTCACCAAAAAATAAATAAAAATAAAATGAAAACAAAAATGCTATTGGGAAGGAATGTTGAAAGCAAAAGACGTGCCTCTTCCGTTTTGGGAGTGTACACACACACACACACACACCACACGCGCATACATACACATACATATATGGACTTTATCTGACTGTCCCACTTTCTCTACTCTTTCCCATTTTCTTTTCTTTTGTGTTTCCTGTCTTCTGTGTATTTGTCAATAAGTGATTAGACTCTTCTTTGGTGTATTTCAACTAATAAAGAACTTTTAATCGCAAGCTACTCCCAAACCATACACTAGTTGTGCTTTTATTTTTGAAACTAGCCCAGTCTGGGTATAAACAATCATTGTGTACAGCGAAACGGGATGTGCTGTGCATCAATTAATGCGTTTTATTTTATTTTTTTTCAAGAAGAATAAGATTGGAATGGGACAGGGTTAGTATAGAACAGAGATGCCCAAGCTAGGGCCTGCAGGCCAAAGTTGGCCCAAAATAACATTGAGTTGACCCTCCATCCCATCTGAGAAGAGAGAGAGAGAGAATGATGGGGAATTTTGGGGAAATGCCTTTAACAGAGATTGTCATTTTTAACTTTTGTTTTTTAACTGTTAAGCTACGAAAAAGCAAACTGAAATTGTTTTTGAGAGTTCACACTTAGCTGATAATCAAAGCCTGTTTGGCATGCTGTCCCGGGAGAGAGCCCTGAGCTCGTAATATCCTCGAGCACAGGGCTCCCTCCTGTTAGAAGGGCGAGAGGGGAGTTCGAGCTCAGGTAGGTCTTGAGAACTCCTCTGCTTGTCGCGTGTTAGAAGTGTATACGGTTGTCTTAGGTGATAATTTGGTTTAGTCGATTGGCTATGGGTTTTTTTTCGGATGGTGGGAAGAAACCGGGGAACCCACGCGAACACGGGGAGAACATGTAAACTGCACAGAAACACAAAACAGCCCGATAGGAGGTTGGACCAGCTGTGAGTTGCTGTGGACCAGCTGTGAGCTGTGTAGTTCTTGCTGTGAGGCAACAGTGCTAGCGACTGGGCCACCATGTCGCCCTATCGAAAAAAAAGGGGGAAGTAGGGGTGGAGGGGGGGAAGCTTCAAGACGAAGATAACTGGAGTGAAAAACTCGGGTTATTTATAATGCTTCCATAATCATCTAATAGGGCAGATTAAGGAGCCAGCCGTGTTGATCATAAGCACGTGATCCTCGAAATTAGTTTTATGAATAAACCAAACTTAGTTAAATGTTGTGAATGAATCAGATAAAAATAAATAAATACAATAATAAAACAAAAGTGAATCAAGGCAAATTGTATTTTTTTGTGTTATAAAAGGGATTGTACATGTTTTTTTATTGTAAGATGTTCATCATATATATGTACAAAAATGTATAATTAATACAATTAAAGTATTTTATTATTTTAATGTAATTAATTATAGAATTAATTAAGTTATATAATGAATAATAATAAAAAGTTAGGAAATTGCATTGATAACTTTATAGTTTGGTATATTTCCCTCTGGACCACCATCCTCAATCAAGTTTACTTTTTGGCCCTTCATAAGAAAATGTTTGAACACCCCTGGCATAGACCCCTGCTATTATGTTTAAAAATAGAGGGAGAGCACGGACTAAAGCTGCGGTCACACTAGAATTTGTGCGAAAAAAGGCGGGAATTATCAAGAGGATTAGACATTTAAAAAAGCGAGTGATTGATCCATATTTTAAATTCCTGTCCGGAGGTCATGTTGTGATCCTCGATTGGTCTCATGCAGTCACATGATGCCATTTCGCAGGTCAGAGTTCACCAGGCTTGAACTTTCCAATGCAGCGAACTGCGAAACTTGTCACACGACCTTGCGTTTCCAGACTGACACGTGTGTATAAATGGAAGTCTATGGGGCGAAAAGTCCAGTGTGACCGCAGCTTTAGGTAACAAAGGAGTTTCCTCTGAGCCTTGACAACATTTGCATTACTGGTTATAACAGCACATTCAGCATGCAGTCTTTGATTGAGCTGCCAAATGTGTCATTTCGAGACCGTGTCCTGCAGTTAGCTCCAAATTTCAGTTTTTAATGGCCCGTTTCCACGGTTAAAAGTTACCTAATAGCATACCCTGCCACATTTTAGTGGTGTTCTAAACCCTTGAATGACCCGTACAGCTTTAAGGTTATTGCACATTGAATCTGAAATTTGTAATTTTTGCACGTTAAAAAATAAATTTGACCTCACGCTGTGTCAATCGTATTGACACACTGCCTCCAGAACTTTCATCCTTCATAAAAATCAAACCGGGTTCTATTTATTTATTTATAGAGCGAGGAGAACGTATCACTGCTTGAACGGACTCCGAAATGTTTTGTGTTTTTTCATGATTGGTTAATGAAACCGTATCGCACTCAGTGTGCAAGGTTTGTTTACGTGACTAATTCTCAGCATATGAATATGAAAAAAAATTGCATACGAAAAATTCAGACATCAGTGTGCAAAAGCCTTTAGTTTGACATTTCCTCCAGCGAAAGTGACGTTGACGGAAATTTTGACCTACGCCACGCTCACCACTGATACTTTTAGAGCCGCTGTTCTGACAATCTGCTACCTCCTCAGAATGAGCTGCCGGTAGCTCAATCTGTCATATTTCAGCTAAAAAAATAGGATTAGCACATCTTATCAGCATTAAATGTCTATCAGAATGAACCACCTACTTAAAGAAGGGTGTAAAAACAGGGATAGCACTTTTTGTCAGCTTCAAATATCAATCAGAATGAACTACCACTCTAATAAAACTAATGAAATAAAAACAAATAATTAAGGCAGTAGTTTACTCTTATAGACATTTGAAGCTGCTACACCTTCTCTACATTCTTCAATAGAGTAGTAGTTCATTTCGATAGATATTTGAAGCTGACAATATGTGCTACCTCTCGAAATTAACTTCTATATTGAACAATGTCTATTAAAAAGTGTTCTTTTATCTTTATTAAAGTCGTTTCTTTTTTCATGTGTTGAACTAATGCTCAATCTACAGGTCATTTAGTGCATCCTGGAGTTTGTGATGTCTGAGCTTTTCAGTTTAAAAGTAAATCAGGTTTAAATGGCGAGAGTTCCTGTGTGAACGAAAGTAACACTGTTATTAACAGTGTGTTCCTCTGATAATATTCAGACTACATTTTTTACTTCCACATTAGAGTTTGCAGTGTTTGGATTCAGATGTTTTATAAAATTAATGAGTATTGCCAATAATAATATAAATATATGCAAGAATTGTAGAAAAGTCTAACAGTTTGCATTGGTGGATTACACATTGGGAATGCCTTCCCAATGCGTGATGATGTAGACCACGCGTTTGGTCTCTCTTCTGCATCTTTTCATTTTTATAACCGATTTAAATTAAAATTGTCCTTATTTTATTTTAATATTGTTGCTGTATACATACTTGTTATGCAACATGGCAGTTAAAACAGCAAAATAAGCCAAAAATATACCAGAAGAGGCGTGCAGTGATGACAGCAAAGAGGTTAGCATTACAGCTATCCACCATTTCAGCACTCGAGATGAAGCTGGACCAAATTCAATCTGCTGCGACTAACATCGTTTAAAGATTGATCGAATTCAAAGATTGCTTCACTCGAGATTCATGTAATTGCTAAGGATTATATTTTCAGCAACTAACTCTGACCAATGGGCTATATGCACAGCTAGTGCTTTTAAGCTAACAATAAACTGATGAAACGTTCATGTGACTATTTTCAATTTCATAAGGTTGCTTTTACAACATTGATGTTGTAGTGTCATTAAAATACAATCAGTTAAATAAACTTCAGCATTCATTTCGTTGTTTAAATGTAAAACAAGATTAAAGACCATGTAAATGCTAGTGCTGTCAGGTCAGCACAGAAACTCCATTGAAAATACTAAAGGTAAATACATTTCTATTATTACAAGACAGCAGGGGAAAATGGAATTTAATGCAGGGCTGCTTGGCTGAACAGAGACCCAATTTATATCAGATATCAATCAGGCAGTGAAGATCACATTTTTTTTTTTAAAGAAATCAGAAATCTTAAACATGCCAATTTTGTAATGGTGCAACAGTTCACTGGAAGTGAAGTCCATTTAAAATACTCCATTGTCAAATCATAAAATACTAAAAGTTCTAATTAATATTTTTTATTTAAAATTCAGAAGAAATATTATTAAACCTTTATAGAATAAAACAATTTGGCTCACTTAACCGAATAATTCCAACAAATCCAATTTCTTTAGTAAACTACTGATGATATTTCTTCCAAATGAAATATAAAAGCATCATTTATAGCATTTATTTAAAACAATTTGTCTCATTTTACCAAATCCAGCAAATCCAACTTTTTTTTTCAGTAAACTAATAATTCTTCCAAATTAGGTATAAAATGGCCTTTATAGCATTTATTTACAACAATCTGACTCCGTTTACCAGATAAATCAGGCAAATCCTACTTTTTCAGTAAATTACTGATATTTCTTTTGAATTAAGTATAAAAATGCCATTTATATCATTTATTTAAAATAAACCCTGCTGTAGAAAACTAGGGTGGATGGCTGGTTTTAGCTGGTCGACCAGCCTGGTTTTAGAAGGTTTTTGGCCATTTCCAGGCTGCCTCCAGCCATTTCCAGCCTGGTCTTAGATGGTCAGGCTGGGAGATGACCAGCCAAAACGAGCTATGTCCAGTTTAATCCGGGTTGGTCGAGCTGGTTTTAGCTGGTCATTTCCCAGCCTAATCATCTAAGACCAGGCTGGAAATGGCCTTTATACCATTTATTTAAAACAATTTGACTCAATTTACCAAATAAATCCCGCAAATCAGTAAACTACTGATGATATTTCTTCTAAAGGAATAATAAAATTTTCATTTATAGCATTTATATATAAAATAAAACAATTGGACTGACTTTACCACATAAATACAACTTTTTTTCAGTACTGATGATATTTCTCCTAAATTAAGAATAAAAGCGTCATTTATAGCATTTATTTAAAACTATTTGACTAATTTTACTAAATAAATCAAGCAAATCCAACTTTTTTCAGTAAACTACTGATAATTATTCCAAATTAGGTATAAAAATGTCATTTATAGCTATTTATATAGAATAAAACAATTGGACTGACTTTACCACATAAATACAACTTTTTTTTCAGTACTGATGATATTTCTCCTAAATTAAGAATAAAAGCATCATTTATAGCATTTATTAAAAACAATTTGTCTTATTTTACTAAATAAATCAAGCAAATCCAACTTTTTTCAGGAAACGATTAATATTTGTCCAAATTCATTATAAAAACTGCATTTATATAGACAGAAAACTATTTTCTTTATATTTACCAAATAAATCAAGCAAATCCAACTTTTCTTTTCAGGAAAATACTGATATTTCTTCCAAATTACGTACAAAAATGTCATTTATAGCATTTATTTCATACAATTTGACTTATTTAACTAAATAAATACAGCAAATCCAATTTTGTTCAGAAAACTACTGATAATTATTTCCAATAAAATTAAAAAAAGTCATTTACAGCATTTATTTCAAACAATTTGACTTATTTTACCAAATAAATCAAGCAAATCCAGATTTTTCAGTAAACTACTGATGATATTTCTCCCAGATTAAGTATAAGAGCGTCATTTATAGCATTTATTTCAAACTATTTGACTCATTTTACTAAATAAATCAAGCAAATCCAACTTTTTCAGTAAACTACTGATAATTCTTCCAAATAAGGTATAGAAAATGTCATATGTAGCATTTATATATAGAATAAAACTATCTGATTGATTTTACCAATACATCCAGCAAATCTAACTTTTTCAGTAAACTAACTGTAATATTTCTTCCGAATCAAGTATACAAATGCCATTTAAAGCATTTATTTATAGAATAACACAATTTTACTCATTTTACCAAATGATTCCAGCAAATTCAACTACTGACCATCTAAGACCAGGCTGGGTGATGACCAGCTAAAACCAGCTATGTCCAGTTTAAACCAGGCTGATTTTAGCTGGTCATTTCCCAGCCTGACCATCTAAGACCAGGCTGGAAATGGCTGATAACCAGCCTGGAAATGGCCAAAAACCCTCTAAAACCAGACTGGTCGACCAGCTAAAACCACCCAACCAGCTTAGCCTGCATTAAGCAGTTTTTTCAGCAGGGAATTGGACTATTTTTACCAAATAATCCAGCAAATCCAACTTTCTTTACAGTAAACTGATATTTATTCCAAATTAATAATTAAAAGTCCTTTATAGCATTTACTTAAAACACTAGACTGATTTTACCTAACAATCCAGCAAATCCAACTTTTTTGTTTTATTAAACTACTGATGATATTTCTTCCAAATTATTAATAAAAATGTCACTTATAGCATTTATATATAATAAAACTAATTGACTCACTTTACCAAATAAATCCGGCAAAAAAAGGGATTTTCAAGTGGTCTCTTCATTTCCCCCCAAAGCTGTAAATTTGGCACCTGTAGAGAGAGTCCTGAGGGCTCGTATAAAATATTAAAGCCCTTATATTGATGTCCGCTGCTCCATGAAAGCGAGCAGTAGTGTGGTTAGTCATGGAGTGGCTCCTTCTCCTCCACATTCAGCAGTGTGTCTGTGTGGATGCCAGCCTCCTCCAGGCTCATGTCTGCAGCCGTCTGCACTTCCGTCCTGGGGTATGACATGTACAGCGTGTAGAGGGCTGGAGGGTATCCTGTCTTCATCATCCACTCCAGCAGGAGCTAATGATCAGAAGACATAAATATTACTCATGTATTTATTTATTACTGTCAGTCATCATTGTTTATTACTGACCTGAGAGCTCCAGGTTTTGAGGAATCTCCTGTGGATTGCTCTTCTGCCCGGACATCTTAGGGCTATTTTTACTGCCTGGCAGTGGATGAGGTGAAGGTGAGATGTCACTACATAAATAAATGATCACAGAAAAAAAAGTGTTCTTGTATGCAGGCGTTGTTTATTAACTCACCCCTTCAGTGTCCACTGATGGCTCGTCAGGCAAAACTATGACCTTTAATGACAGAAAATAATAACAAGGCTGGTGAACAAAGTAGTAGGCAAGTTATAAAAGTCCTGCCTTAATCCATACCTTAACATGACTGCTGCATTTCAAATTCTGGGATGCGCTTCTGGTTTGGTTAAATTTCGATTTAAAGTATATGAAGCAAATCATTTTAAATAAAAGAATAACACTTTTTTGGGAAATAAGCTCTTTTTTTAACTACTAGAGTTAAAGAGTTGAAATTGACCATTTTTGAGTCCATTTAGCCAATCTCCAGGGCCCGGTTTTTCAAAAGTAATCCACTAGGATTTTGGATAAGGGATTGGATCAAATCTTGAAAATGGGTTTTTCAAAAGAAAAAACGGATTACATAATCAGATTAGATCACGTTATCCAATCTTGGTTTTGATCCGGATCAAAGCTTTAGTTTGGGTTTTTCGGACCTTTTTTGTAGGATCTGGATCACTTTGATCCAAAAAACCTGGATTAAACTGATCCCATCAGAAGAGAGGATTTAGCGTGGATTTCATGTCCAAAATGTAATGAAATGTAATATACTATTTATTCATAAGGTTTTAATTTTATTTGTTCATCCGTCAGGCTATAGTGATTATTGGCTTTAACGTATTTAGCCTGTCAGTATAGGCCTCCAGCAAAGTAGAAAGAGTTTGGCCTCATAAAATAATCCCCCAAACAGCTGTCAAAACTGACCAAAAACAATCAATTTTATTCTGTCACTAATTGATATATATATATATATATATATATATATATATATATATATATATATATATATATATATATATATATATATATATGTATGTATGTATTCATCACAATGGAAAATATTTTTCTTATTAGAATATTTATTAATGATGATAGCAATGATTACAGAATAAACAAAAAATGCAAGAAATGGCAATGACTGATTTTTGAAATCTCTTTCAACAATTGCAAAAAGAGACTGAAAGGGCAGAAGCACAGCTTCGCCTGGCAGAGGAACAACTGACTCTGACCAAACTGCAGCAAACCAAGGCCAGACTTGAGATCCCCCTCCTAAAGGATACGCTTCACATCAAATGAGGAAGTCTGAGATTATTGTGGAGTTTTTGACATTAAGTATTTTTTTTTATTTACATCTATATTTGAAACTTATTATAAATATCCTCAATGTACAGTGTTTGTGTTGTAGGTCTCAGATGAGCGGACTGCTGGAAAAGGATGGGGTGGGCTTTTTCTTGTTTTTATTATTTATTATTAATTTAATATTTATTACATTTTCTTAGTTTTCATTTAAAAAAAATAAATTATATTGACCCCACGCTGGCTATTCTACTTGTCGCTCTTTACATATCTATAGTTCTACATTGTGATTTCCTAAATCACCGGGCCTTGGGCCCGGTTTTTCAAAAGGTTTAATCCGAATCAAATTGATCCAGATTTAGTAATCCTGTTTTTGCGATCTGTGATCACGTAATCCAGCTTACTTTTTGAGCCAGTTTTTCAAAGCAACATCGGATTGGATCAATCTGATCCGGATAGGAACTTTTCAGGATCACTAAATCTGGATAACCAGTGCTCAAACAGCATAGGACATCACAATGTAGAACTATAGATATGTAAAGAGCGACAAGTAGAATAGCCAGCGTGGGGCCAATATAACTTTATTTTTATTTGAAATGAAAACTAAAAAAAAATTAATAATTATTAAAATAATAAATAATAAAAACAAGAAAAACCCCACCCCATCCTCTTTCAGCATTCCACTCATCTGAGACCTACAACACTGTACATTGAGGATATTTATAATAAGTTTTAAATATAGATGTAAATAAAAAAAAAAAGACTTAATGTCAAAAACTCCACAATAATTTCAGACTTCCTCATCTGCTGTGGAGAGACCAGCTTGTCTGAGCGTAGCCTTTAGGAGGCGAATCTTAAGTCATTGGCCTTGCTTGTCTGCAGTTTGGTCAGAGTCAGTTGTTTCTCTACCAGATGAAGCTGTGCTTCTGCCCTCTCAGTCTCTTTTTGCAATTGTTGAAAGTGATTTTAAAAAATCAGCGATTGCCATTCTTTGCAAATTTTTTTTGTTATTCTGTAATCATTGCATGCATCACTAATAAATATTCTAAACACAAAAATATTTTCCATTGTGATGAATATATATATATATATATATATCAATTAGTGACAAAATAAAATTGATTGTTTTTGGTCAGTTTTGACAGCTGTTTGGGGGATTATTTTATGAGGCCAAACTCTTTCTACTTTGCTGTAGGCCTATACTGAAAGGCTGAATACGTTAAAGCCTATACTCACTATAGCCTGACGGATGAAAAAATAAAATTAAAACCTTATGAATAAATAGTATATCTCGTAAGATACTGCATGATCCAAAAATAATATTATTTAATACATTTTTTAAGTTTTCATTACATTTTGGACATGAAATCCACGCTAAATCCACCCTTCTGATGGGATCAGTTTAATCCAGGTTTTTTGGATCAAAGTGATCCAGATCCTACAAAAAAGGTCTGAAAAACCCAAACTAAATGTTTGATCCGGATCAAAACCAAGATTGGATTACGTGATCTAATCCGATTACGTAATCCGTTTTTTCTTTTGAAAAACCCATTTTCAAGACTTGATCCAATCCCTTATCCAAAATCCTAGTGGATTACTTTTGAAAAACCGGGCCCAGGGGCCTCATGTATCAACGCTGCGTACGCTCAAAAACTTTGCGTACACCAGGTTTCACGCTCACATTTGGATTTACTAACGAGGAAAATAACATGAGAATGTAGGTTGGTCCGCACCAACTTCATGTCTAGCGTACGTGTATTTCCAGCCTGATCTCACGGGGAAATATGAGTATTTTACGTTTTGCCAGTTTAGTGGCTAATTCGTACGATTTTAAAAAAGGAGGCGCGGCACCTAACCCCATCCCTAAACCCAACCGTCATTGTGGGATGAGCAAATCGTACTAAATTGTAATACATACAAATTAGCCACTAAATGAAAAAGTTACGAATTGCCGTGAGTTTGCGCAAGTGGTGCTCGCTGCAGAACCATTTGGGCGAGCTGAGCTCCAGCGAGGGGGAGCTTGAGCTAGAGCTCCACCTTTTTTGCACTTCTTCTACGAGGGATGTCACTGGGGGTAGGGTTAGGGGTGGGGTTGGTGTACGCATTAAAACAGCTTACAGGAGGCAGAGCGAGAGCTCATGCTCCCCCTCGCTGGAGCTCAGCTCTGCTCAAATGGCTCTGCAGCGAGCACCCTCTGTGTGTTTTTTTTTCCCATTGGCGACTCCTAGAGGCAATTATGTTAAATTGCACACTATAAAGTATTGCACCAACACATGTTAAAACATTGCTTTTAATTTATAATTGATAAAATGGGTTCATTTACACATTTTTTTGACCAATAATGTGATTTAGAACATATAAAAGCATTTGCAAATGTATACAACCCTTGGTCTATGGCAATGGCAGTGTTGGCCTTATTAGAGGACATTGTTAATGATCGAATCTGAAGGCTTCACAGTGGCAGGGTGTGCGATGGGTGGCTTCTTGGTGAGTGATGTATTTAAAAATATTATTACTGCTAAGTCTTTATTTTTATTTTATTGAGCGTAATTATCTTCACACCATAGACAAATGCCTCCAGATGAACCCAAAGATAAAAGTCTAAGAGGGTCAGATTGGGAGACTTTAGGGGCCATTCAACTGGCCCACGATGACCAATCCACTTTTCAGGAAACCGTTCATTTAGAAATGCTCGGAACTGACACCTATAATGTGGTGGTGCACCATCTTGCTGGAAAAACTCAGGGAACGTGCCAGCTTCAGTGCATAAAGAGGACAACACATCATCATGTAACACTTTCAGTGACCTCCAGGTTTCCATTGATGAAGAATGGCCCCTCTAACTTTGTTGTCTTTGGTGTGAAGATACAAGATGTGCAGCACCTGAAACTATGGATAGTGGAAGCCTGGCATGTCTCCTGCGGTGTTGCTAGGAGTGTGTAAAGAGTGGGAGAAGAGGGTTGCATTGACAATCAACCACAATAGGCAGCACATTAAACACATTTTTATAAGTGATCAGAAACTTATAAATAACTCATGAAAGAATAAAGTTAGATCCGAAACCAAGCACAACATTGTTTTTCTTGTGAAATTCCCAATAAGTTTGATGTGTCAACTGACCCTCTTCCTATTGAAAAAACAAAAGTTGGATCCAAAATGGTCGACTTCAAAATGGCCACCATGGTCACCACCCATTTTGAAAAGTTTGCCCCCTCACAAATATTAATGTGCCACAAACAGGACGTTAATATCACCAACCATTCCCATTTTATTAAGGTGTATCCATATAAACGGCCCACCCTGGAGTGAGCAGATGAACCCATGTCTTCTGCAGAGAGTAACAGATTTAATTTAGCCTTTTATTCCCATATAAAAATTAACGACAAACTATGATCAAGCTTGCATGCTTGCTTGATGTGTGAGAACCAATGAGGATGATGCTTGTTTGTTATTCCAACCCTGTTGAGCTTCCATAAGAAGCAATAAAGACTGTCCTTGGCTTCTATGTTAGCTGTTCAATGTTTACATGTGAAAAGGTCATAATTAAAAACCCTTAGTTTCTCTTCAGGCAAATTGTATTAAACCGCTCGATTTGTGTGTTTTATTGTTAAACTTAAAGTTACTCAAAGAGTTTGGTGTAAATCAGCGAATGAAGAAGTTTGTATTAGTGTTGGAAGAAAATAAGATGAGCCTTAGGGGTTTGGAGTGACATGAGGGTGAGTAAATGATGACAATAATCTTTTTGTGGTGACCTAACCAGTTTAAAGCAATAGTCCGATAAAAGCACAAACCCACCCTCTTCTGCTTGGGCACTTCCTCTTGGACAGGATCTTGAGTAACAGTCTGCATCGGCTTTCGTCTCCTTCTGGCTCCCTGATTAGGAGACTCGTCTACATCCACCGCATGACATATCTTATCCTCATCACCCTGAAAAACATGATGGGACTTGATATTTAATTCCTTTTATTGTTTTTCCTGTAAATGATTCAATAAATACCGTACCGTGCCATTCATACCGAGGTATTACCGTACCGTGAAATTCTGATACCGTTACATCCCTAATATATATATATATATATATATATATATATATATATATATATATATATATATATATATATATATATATATATATATATATATATATATTATAAGGTTTAAATGAGCATTTCATTTTTAGAGAAAATGTCAGACAGGTGGGCCTTCGAAAATTTATCAAAGAAAGAAGTGGGCCCCAAAGTGAAAAAGGTTAAGAACCCCTGCATTAGTACATCCACAATGCACTTATACTTTCTAAACACATGTTTTTAAACCATAATATTTGTTGAACATTGTAGTACTGCAGGTACGCCATGTTGTCAAAAGGTTTGGGACATCTGCCTTTAGACGTACAGTTGCAGTCAGAATTTTTAGCCCCTAAATTATTAACCCCGTTTATTTTATTTATTTTTACGGAAAACCTGTTTAATTTTTTTTCAACACATTTCTAAACATAATAAGTCATTTCTAATAACCGATTTATCTTTGCCATGATGACAGTAAATAATATTTGACTAGATATTTTTTAAGACACTTCTAGACAGCTTAAAGTGACATTTAAAGGCTTAACTAGGTTAATTGGATTAACTAGGCAGGTTAGGAAAATTAGGCAAGTTATTATAAGACAATGGTTTGTTCTGTAGACTATCAAAAAAATATATAGCCTAAAGGGGCTAATAATTTTGTCCTTAAAATATTGTTTAAAAAATTAAAAACTGCTTTTATTCAAGCCGAAATAAAACAAATAAGACTTTCTCCAGAAGAAAAAAAATATTATCAGACATACTTTGAAAATTTCCTTGATCTGTTATACATCATTTGGGAAATATATATATAAAAAAAAAAAACAATTTGTGGGAAATGATTCTAACTTCAAATATAGTTTATATATATATATATATATATATATATATATATATATATATATATATATATATATATATATATTTATATATATATACTATTTTCCCAAGTGTATATAACTACTACTGTAAGAAAAAAAAATCAGAATTTAGTGCATATTTTTAGTATTATCTTTGCTTGAAAAGACCCAATCCAGTTAATATGAAATGAGCCTGCTTCCAAACCTGTATCATGTCAAATTGTCAATAACCAAATCCAGCTAACTGAGTAATCCACGTATGAAGAACAGACCCCAGGAATGCACAGGTGGCAACATATCACAGTACCACATATGAATTCACTGAGCTCCTGAGAGCAATCCATTCTTTTACAGATGTTTGTAAAAGTGTCTGCATGCCTACACTGAAAAAAAAATACTGGTTGCCTTAAATTTTTAAGCTGATTCAAATTAACCTTATGAGTCATTTTATTTTATTTTAAACTGAAAGGAATGTTTCATTAGAGAAGTCAGAGCCAAATTTGCAACAGGCAGAATATAGCATACAGCACTAGCACTTCTCCTTTATTTTAGGGTCTTCACAAACAGTAAATGACTGTTGTCAATTTAAGGCTGTAATGTGATGGTTACAAAAGACACTCAAGATTCAAGTTGGCTATTACAATTTGTGCAGTGTTAGAGAGTTTTATGGGCACTTGCATCTCTTAAATTCTACATATATTGTATGAATACTTTTATCCATTTCTCAGTGAATGTAGGCAATGTATTTTGGTGCATTTAAACAAAACAGATTTAATAAACAGATATATTTATTAAAATTATATTTTACAAATCAAACATTGTCAGAAATTGAAAGATAACACAATTCAATTCAAGCAAAATATTACAAAAAAATGACAATTAACCTACAAACTTTAAACAAACTTTTTAAATTTTTTGCTTTTCTTTATTTTTCCTCTTTTTAAGATTTGCATTTAATATTTTTCTATTACATATAAATGTGGGTGTACTACTTTTTGGACCGCTATCAGAAGTTATTTTGTTAGAATTTCAGATTTGGCATCAGTACTGACTATATGCACAAATACAATATTGTATAGCCTTCTATTAAAAGTATAGATTTAAAAGATAGATTTGTGAGGGGTCTACTTATATATGCTGAGCACAGTATAATTTGCTTAAGCCATTCTTTAAAAAGAACACTCGATGACATAGTTTGCTTTGGTATTCGTGTCAGTCAACATAAGCTCACAATGACACCTAGTGGATAGAGTGCGGCATATCATCTAAAAATGTATTTTTTAAAATTCAGTTTATCAATTAGATTTGAATGTTTTTAAATGTATCTAGTGAAATGTATAGTTTTTTTTGTGTACAATATAGTTAGTTAATGAATTATAATAGATAAAGATTCAGTTATTAGATGCATTTTTTATCTAAATCTAAAGAGGTTTTCAATTAAACTGTTCTATTTCTGTTCCTAATGATAGGATTTTAGACATTTCTAGAATGAATACACTACATAATTATAAATATTAATCTGCCTAAATATTATTCAGAATAAATTAACCTTTCAAAAACATCTCTTTTATAGCAGTTATGACTTTGGTCATACAAATGGTCAAAACTTGTCAAAATCTATAATATAATATAATATAATATAATATAATATAATATAATATAATATAATATAATATAATATAATATAATATAGGGGTGAAGCAGTGGTGCTGTAGGAAGTGCTGTCGCCTTACAGCAAGGTCGCTGGTTCGAGCCTCGGCTCAGTTGGTGTTTCTGTGTGGAGTTTGCATGTGGGTAAGCTAAGTTGTCCGTAGTGTATGTGTGTTTGTGTGTGTGTGTTTGTGTGTGTGTGGATGTTTCCCAGAGATGGGTTGCGGCTGGAAGGGCATCCGCTGCGTAAAAATGTGCTGGATAAGTTTGCAGTTCATTCCACTGTGGCAACCCCGGATTAATAAGGGGACTTAGCCGACAAGAAAATGAATGAATGAATAATATAATATTATATAATATAATATATTCTTGCCCCATGTAGAGAGCCATCTTACAATTTGTACTATGAAAACTTTAAAAAGTTCTTTATTGTTTTTATATTATTATTTCGTACTGACACAATCAATCATCATCCTCCTGCACACAATTTATACCTAAAATCCTGTGATTTAAATTCAAACACATTCTTAAAGGGACATTTCCACCAAAAATGAACATTTCCGCATTTCCTCAAGAAAATCTTTCTTCTTTTGAATATAAATCAAAATATTCTGTTGGAAATCAGCAGCCATTTGTAGGAAATTCATGAACCAAAACCAGGAGACGCTTGTCTTCTAACTGGATTCTTTTAACAAGAATGTGCTGGCTGTGCTTCATCATCGAGAAGGCTACAAGTAGAGTTCCACCTACCCTGATACTTTGGAACCTCTGTCTTCTGAAGGGAGTGAATTTTCTGATGGATGTCTACTCCAGGATGGAGTAACACATAAACATTCAACTTTATTAAAAATCATACACATAAGAAAGGATAAGAGCCTAGATTATATGATGACCTTAGTGTCATCCCACTTCAGAGTAAAACTGGAATAATATATGTGATTGCTTTTCTGTATGCCAAATGATTTGTTTCTTCAGGATCTTCCCAGCCAGGTCAGAGGTCAATGGAGGCCTCTTGAGTGGAACTGGACTCTTGAAGAATGGGAAACAACTGTTTTCTGTGTTATTTGCCATTTTATGTGTTACATCTTTTAAAGTTAATTCCTTTGTGTGTAAACTGCCAGTTTGGATGTAGATAGTGATAGTTTTTAACTTTTTGATAAGACGGCTGACAGTACACTCAGCCTTGGGTAAAAAAAACAGATTGTACTTTGTGTGTTCTATTCCTCTGTGGATCATTTCACAGGTCTGGGGTCAGCTCTGAAAAACCTAGTCTCTGCCTAAGGTTTGTATGTTTGAGATATCATTCAGAATTGTTTGTGTAGCGACAAAAGCTACAGGCCACAGTCTTTAGCCTCCTTGTTAGAGCGACCAACTCCCATGCGGAAGGTCGCCGGTTCAATCCCAGCTCGGAGCGGTTTGGATGGTGTAGGACCGGTGGGGTTACATTTGCACGCAAACATGTGGAAATTTAATTTTTTTCTATCTGTGTTTCAACCAATCAAGTTAAAACACGTGTAAGTATGACATAATGACGTTATGTTAGAGTGTAATTTTTGTTGTTTTGAGATAGTAAGCCTACACACTCTTTGCGAGTGTTGAAGCTGATTCCAGCTTTTCTTCATCTGACAGACTGGTCATTTTTAGGTTAAAACTGTTGGTCCCCCCTTTACTTCAGACACTTGGGCTGCCAGACTCTTTCTTTTCACAGTAGTTTCAATGTAAAATGTACATAATGTGTTTTAGTTACAAACCATTTCATTGGAACTTACAGTTCTAATAATCTTTTTCTAAATTTGTATTTGAATATTTGATAATAGGTGGTTAAAAAATCTATGGAAGACACGGGCGGCAGCTTTACAACCTTCTTCAGCATATTCACCTTTGTGTTCATCAGAAAAAACGAACTCAGACAGGTTTGAAATAAGAAGAAGGAGGAGTAAATTCTGACAGAATTGTGTTTTTTGGGTGAGCTCTCTTTCTTAACTTAACCTGCTGTTCATTTTGCCTCATAACATTTTAAAGGGGACCTATTATGCCCCTTTTTACAAGGTGTAGAATATGATCTCTGATGTCCCAAGAGTGTGTTTGTGACATTTTAGCTCTAAATACCCCACAAATAGTGTTTTACAACTCTTTGAAGCTGACCCTTCTAGGGTTCGTAATAAACCCTTTTCACATTTCTGGGTTTCTCAGTATCGGAAGTCATCAATAGATAGAAAACCTAGAGCACAGTAAATGGGAAAATACAACAAATAATTTACAATCCTATTTGCTCAAATAATAAAAGAAAAAGTCCACGATGGTGTTATCAAGACTTTCAGAAGAATGAAAAAAAAATAAAAATAGTGTGAGACTCATGACGGCAGCTAGAGGAGAGAATAACGTCAAATTTACTTTCCAGACCCATAGACGCTGTATTACAAACACCTCGCATAAGTGCTAATTCGTTTTTTTTTTTGTAATTTGAAGCAAAGATGATATTCTACATACGTAAATACATATAAATGTTCATACGTTTTTTTAATATTCTAAATATTAAAAACTTTCAAGGATTTAAGATGCTGATGCTTGTTAAATGCGTCATAACAGGCTTGTGAAAAGGGTCCATTGTGCCCAGCACTCCTTTCAAAATAAGTTGGAGCTACAAATGCCCATGTGTCAGCATAGTGGCAGAGTCAAAAACAAGACTAATGTCCTATGCTAATGAGAAACAGAGATCATCACTAATGGGCGGGGCTTTTCATCTCTGATGACAGGGAGAATGTCAATCAAAGTGTTTCTCCACACTGCATTCATCAAGTGTGATTATAAAAAAATGTATTAATAAATGTTTACCATTAGAAGCTGGTTATATTCACAGACTGTTGCCACACAACTGTGTTAAACCTCTTATAAAAGGGATTTCTACATAACAGGTCACTTTTAAATACAATTTAAGTACTTTAAAGTGGATTCCAGCAACCCTTGTAAAGTTCCTGGAAGATATATTTTTTTATTATTATAATTGTTCAGTGGCATTAATGTACTTCTCTATGTGCTAGTTATGATAATGAGTTCACTCACCCCGACAGGAAGCCCCGGGCTTAGTTTCCATGTTTCTCCTGTCATACGATAGTATCGTTCTGTTTTCTGCTGGAGTAATGAGTCCTGTCTTGGCTTTAGCACCTTTTCAGCATAGTCCGACATCTTTATAATACATGAAATAACATGATTATTGTTAACATACATTCATATCATACAGTAGAACATTTATCCACTTTTAAAGTCACATGTTGTGATAAACCTTGTCATTTTGTAGATCTTGCTGAGTTCTTCTAACTTGCTCTTCTTTCAGTCTGCTGGATTCAGGTGTTGGGCCTGCAAAAAAGACAAACTCCATATTCAATTATTTATAATTTATACAACTACACTAAATGAGAATGAACTGTCATCTGAATGCACATACTGTCTGTGAGCTCTTGAGTCACTGGAAAGAAGAAAAATTTCAGCCTCGGGAATATGGAAATCAGCCATGTACAGATGCCTAGAAATATGAATCCGCGTCCAGCCAATTTCAGAGCATCGTTAACACCTTTAACACACATAAAACACTAGTCAGCGATCTCAATGGTCAGCATTAGCACAAGCTGATTATTTAAGACTAGGACATTGAGGTAAAGTTGGTTTTATATTTGCACATTCGTTCATTTAACTGTCTCTATTTTGTTTACCACGGTAATTTGAATCATTATTATATAAACAATATGCAACAACTGGAATTTCAAAAGCTCCCTTGGGATTTCATACACTTTTATACATCAACAATTGTTACAATATTACATAAATAAATTATATAAATATAGATAATTCGTTTAAACACATTCTAAGTTATTAAAACTGTATTGTACAATACATTTTGATAATGGTTAAATATTTAAAAGCGTGAATTTCGAATATATATTGCAAAATTCCATGTTGATAACGTTTTATCACCAATATTTTGCACATAATCACGAAACTACTTCAAAAACAAGCTCTTGGTTTGATTTGCTTTGCCAGAATAAGTATTATCATGCTGTGTTACCGATTATCGAGTGTTTCCACGAAATGAAGCAAACTCCTGACAGTAAAACACAGAGGACAACACATCTGTTAGACATGTCAGCATTCACAAATAATCACAACACTGTAGAAACAACACGGAAGTTTGACGTTTTAAAGTAAAAGTCTCCATAGACTGTTCTGTTTAGGGGTTTATCACATCTACCTTATTTAATTTACTTATACATGATTGATTTGTGTTTGAATTCAGCTTCAGACTGCTTTAATATTTTTTTTCTGTTCAGTGTTGCAACGTGTGCAAATTTCAGCAGCAACATCAGTAACGGTAACGTTATTTTACATATAAATTATTATAACTTTTTATTATGAATAAGGTTGTACTATCACTTTAACTCGATTGTTTTATAGAATTTTACCGAATGCATGTTTTACATCAAAACAAAGACTAAATGAAACAAATATGTTTGACTTTTATTATGAAGTAAATTCATTTTGACTGTCCAATCAAGTGGCCGGTCGTCATTTGCATCTGTCCAATCGTTGTAGTCGTTTTGTTCTTCTCTCAGCCAATAGACATCGAGTTGGGTGTGGCCGTGTATGTGAGTGACAGCCGCTTCAGCCACAGCTGCAGAATCAAAGCTGTCAACATGGCGGACGAGGTGTCGCGGGCTCAAAGCGCGCAGCCGGGAGGAGACACGATATTCGGCAAAATCATCCGTAAAGAGATTCCGGCCAACATCATTTATGAAGATGATCAGGTGCGACATTTGTACTGCAGGTCTGCCCTCAGCGCTGACGTGCAAATCTCTGCGGTGGATCCCGCACGTGCTGCTGCATTTCATGCGCTTCAGACTGTTTATATGAATCTAAAATAAAAGTCTCAGATTTCTACTACATACCCTTTTGCAGTTCCGTCGCAAATTCTGCTCTAGATCTGCTGTTAATGTGAAGTTTAGGTGATTTGGAAATGTGCCAGATTTCAATGCCGATTCACGTATTCTGCACTTTACACGTAACAGTTAATAAATTAAATGTCTGCATAATTTTTGTTTAACTCTGCAATTATACAGTAATTTATGAAGGTCCCGTCTATACTCACGTGGATTTGTTTTGTTACAGCTGTTTTACAAGTTTTAGTTTGTATATTAAGAGTTTAGATGCTTAACATTTAAGTAAATGTCTGATATGTTCTTCTGAAATGAGCATCATTTTGCCTCCTTTGTTTATTTTCAGTTTTTTTCACTATAAAAGCATGCACAGAAGCCACCGATACATTTCCGGTCGAGCTGGCTATTTTCAGTTTCATAAGTTTCACTTTACAGAGGAGATTAAGACAAAAGCATCTGTACCCTTCTTAGAAACATAGACATGTAAACTTTTAAAAGTTTAAAATTATTTCATATGCTCATTTATTTTCTCTTACTCTGTCTCTGTGTGTTTATACATTATTATTTAGTGTATTGCCTTCAATGATGTGGCCCCTCAGGCTCCAACTCATTTCCTGGTGGTCCCCAGAAAGCCCATCAGTCAGATCTCTAAAGTAGAGGATGCTGATAAAGAGGTCAGTAGTATATTATCATTTTAAATCAGTCTGCATGCTGTGTGACGGGGATTTAATTTGGTACTACATTTATATAATGGTGTAGGGGAAATGACAGTTTTAACCCCAAAATGACTGTCAGATGATGCAGAGCCCGGGTCAGAGATTCAATTAAAAAGAAAGTTTACTAAAGATAGTTTGTAGTTTCATCAGCAGAAGCCAGCTTCAACACTCGCAAAATTTTGTGGCCTCTCTCTTTGAAATCTCGAAACAAGAGCAATTGAACTCTCACGTAATTTCATTAACTGTGTCATACATATAAAAAATAGCATCACAGTAGCATGACGTTACCTTAGTAGGCGGTACAAGGTCCGCTACATAGTAATTGCTTACGTCATCAAGCTGCTGGCTGCAGCGAGGACATCTTGTGAATGTCCACTGAAGTTCAGATTTTCTAACTTGAGTAATTCATGCGTGAAATGCTCAAGTCACGCCACTTCATTCGTGTGAGTTGCGTCTTTTGTGTTACCTCATTCACACGATTTGACCAAGTGTGCCGCAAGCCTGCGTTTGAGTGAAGGTCTCGGCCGTTAGATCGCCCCCTGGGGGCTGGCTGCAGTACAAGTCATAAAGCCCGCCTCCTCCGTGTTAATGAAGAAGACTTGAGCCCAAATAAAAAAATTATTAGACTTGCAATAAAATGTCCCGAAAGATGGTTCTGGTCGATTAAGGCACTGGTTATTGTGCTGAAATAGGTGCAGATCTTCATTTTTGTAAACAGTTTGTTTTTAGCAGTAATTTAATGCTGGGAGTGTCATCGTGATTGACAGTTTCTCAAAGCAGCGCGTCTGAGCTTCAGCAGAAGACTGAAGTGTTATTATTCGATTTCTGTGTTATTTTACCATGAAAAAATGAGTTCAGCAGTAAACTATAGTTTCTGACATACATAATCCTGGTGGAACACTGTTTATTCGCTAAGTTCACGTACGCCTAGCCACCCAGATAGCAAAATACACTCGGGCCAGTTCCAGCTAGATTCTTGCCTGCCGGAGACTTACCCCTCAAAGCTCAGACTGACTACCGCTGCTGGACCTACTCCGGATGCCTGGACTCACTGCCCGATTCCAGCCCGAGTCAATTGAGCCAGATGCGGCGGCCGAGCGAGCCTGAATCAGCCCGCGATGCCGCGAGTAGGTTATGCGCTGCGGCCCGGAGCTTGCGCGATTGAATATATAAAACCCTCATATTTGTTAACGTTATTACATCCATTTGTGTTGGTATGACAGCAAACGCATGCCGAGCAGTTCGGGGGCGTGGTTGATTTTACATAAAGCGTTTGGTTGGAAGCTCGACTCCGCTCATTTTCGCGGCTCCTCCTCTGGCTCCATCAGACAGCCCTTCTGCACATGTCAAGGCTCCAATTTCAGCAGTCTTTTGCGACAGTTTGTGCCCGTCAAGCAGGCGTTTTGCCTTCAAGGCGTTCCATAGATATATACACTAGATATCGCATAGGGACCCGTCAGCATGCGTCAATAGCGCCACCACATTGGTACAGTGCTCCCAGGACAAATGTCATTCAACCGCACTAGTCAAGACAGTGTTATTATGTGAAGATGCGGGACTTTAGCGCTGCCTACAGGTGTAGTAACGAGCAAACAAAGAAAACAAAGCACAAAGGCAGAACATTTCATAGGTAATATTAAGTTTTTTCTGTTTTTGTATGTTCTGAACTTTTGTGCTTATCAGGTAACATTATTGATGATAATACAGTCACTACTGCATTCACCATACAGCAAAGCAGCTCCAACTAGCACTAAACACTCGGCTTATGCTAGTTTTGTTGAATAAAATCAGCAAACAATGCAAAAGAAATATGACAACGAGATGCTGCGCTGCCAGAAACTTGTATTATTTTCGGCTAACGTTAGTGAAAGAGTCGTTCGGGGGATTCATTCACAAACGAATCGCTCTCTCCGTCAGTATGAGAAGTGAAAGCAGGAGAGGAGGTGTGTTTCAGGACATGATTAGATTAAATTTAACAGGGAGGGTGAATAGTACATTTCTGTACACACAAACACAAGTTTTTTATCAGGAATGCCAGTGTGGTCACTGATCCATCAATGTAGAAAAGTGATGTAAAATTATAATTTTTGTAATTAGAAAAAAAAATTACATACTAACATCCAGGAAAACTCCCGATCATAGATATATGTGTATATCTCTGGCTTTGGATGGCCACAGTCCTCCACTGTACCTTGGTCCCGCATTCATTTCAAAGGAGCGCTACCCTGTAGCAAGATGGCGGCGCTATGGACGCATTCCGTCCAATAGACAACAATAGGCCAGGTGACATCTAGTGTATATATCTATGAAGGCGTTCAATGGGAAAAGGGGCTGTCGCGTCGTCCATATTTTTTACAATCATTGGATTTGACCCGCAGGATGTCTATTTGCGTCTTTGCATTGACTTAACATGTAAACAACTTGCGCTTGACACTTCATCTGCGTCTGGTGTAAACGCACCATTAGAGTTTTTTTACACTGTACCTGCTGACGGTAATGCCAAGTTAACAAGAAAAAAATTATTTGTGGTATATTTTAAGCTGAAACGTCACATAAACACTCAAGGGACATCAGAGACTTATTTTACATCTTGAAAAAAGGAGCACAATAGTTCCTGTTTAATGTTTGTACTGAATGACTTTTGTAAATGTATTAATATTATATTTTGATTGTTTCTTTGTAGCTTCTCGGACACATGATGATTGTTGCTAAGAAGTGTGCAGAGCAGGTGGGATTACCCAGAGGATACCGACTGGTGGTCAATGATGGTCCTGACGGAGGCCAGTCTGTTTACCACATTCACATCCACGTTCTGGGTGGTCGTCAGTTGGGATGGCCTCCTGGCTAACTGCTTTGTCCCACAGTTTCACTGTTATCAATAGTCAAGTCATTGTTCGCCATAAGTGAGGTTAATTGGTTCACTGTCAAGTAGGAATCAGTCAGAAAACAACTAGAAATAAACAAATAAAGATCTTTGAAATGTCATTGCTTGTTATTCATTCATTGTTTTAGTATTCCCACAAATGTGGTTTTGGATTAATTTTGCAAAGTTCAGTTATCATTCCTCTTTTGCCCTGGACGAATTATCTTTAACCTGCTTTTTGGCATGCTTGCACTGCAGCAACTGGGAACAATTTTAGCTCTAGGAACATCATTTAGGGGGACTAAATAAATCCAATTTTAAAGTAGGCTATATTAGTGTCTGATAAATCTATCATACAAAACACAGATACAGTTTTTTTTTAAAGGGTTTAACATACATATCGTTTTTCAAGGTCATTCTGTATCAGTCATGTTTTCAAACCTTTAAAAAAAGATTAGTTACAATGTAGTTGTATACATGTTACAGTATATTAAGACATAAATGACTTTAATTGTCATCTAGATTTGTTTTCAGTTTTTTTTATTAACATATTACTTTGCGTGATGACGTCATTGCGTAATCGCAAGTAAAAACTTCGTCTTTATGAAATAATGTTTTCTCATGTTGACTGTCCATCTCAGCAAAAACATTTGAAATATGTCCAT